GCTGGAGCAGAAGAAGACAATCAAGGGTGCAGAGTCGCAGGAGCAGCTCGAGGCCGCGGAGAAGGTCCTCTTCACCGAGATGTGCGAGATCTGTCTTTGGGGCAACGCGACGGATCTGTCCTTGCTGACCAACCTGTCATACGAGGATATCCAGAAATTGCAGGGCTCTGAGGCGCGCAAGAACTCCGAGAAAAACATCCTAGTCAACGACCTAGACAAGGCGTTCGCGGTTCTCACGCGGGCCCAGAAAGAGGGCAAGAAGGAGCGTCGTGTCGACATAGTGCTTGACAACGCTGGATTCGAGCTCTTCGTCGATCTCATCCTCGCTGGATATCTCATCGCTTCAGGCCTGGCGACGAATGTCGTGTTCCACCCCAAGAACATCCCATGGTTCGTTTCAGACGTTCTGCCAGCCGATTTTGGTGCGCTCCTCATGGCACTAGCCGACCCACAGAGCTTCTACAGCGCGCTATCAGAAGATGAGAAGCATGCTGGTAAGCAGTCCGTACCGCTGTCTGAGACAGAGAGTGCGAACCTGCAATTCCTGTTCCAGCACTGGAGTGGTCTCCACGCAGAAGGCCAGTTGATGATGCGACCAAATGACTTCTGGACTGCAGGCGGCAGCTACTGGCGACTTCCCAAGAGCGAACCGGACTTGTACGAGGATCTCAAGGAGAGCGAACTCGTCATCTTCAAGGGCGATCTCAACTATCGCAAGCTAACAGCTGATGTGAGTGCCCTCGTCCACATTTGATCCTCGCATTACTGACGATCACTAGGCTGCTTGGTCTCCTACCACACCCTTCACCGAAGCTATCGGACCAATGGGCCCCGGCTCAGGTCTACGAGTCCTTGCGCTCCGCACGTGCAAGGCCGACGTCGTTGTCGGATTAAAGGACGGAGAAGACGAGCGCATCAAAGCATTAGAGGGCAGTGGCGGAGACAGTGGGGCGAGAAAGTGGGCTTGGAGTGGCAAGTGGGCTGTTGTCCAATTTTCGGACGGAAAGGCCTAGTCGACCAACAACATACGACGTTATGGACATGCTTGGGTGTAGATAGACTATAGACATTAAACTTAGGTATGACAGAAGAAAAGTAAATACATGACATGACCGAGCACCGGGCTCTGTCGGCCCCAGGCCGCGATGAAACTCTTAGTAGACGCCTCTCCTGATGTCGGAGGCGATCTGTTGAAGCTCCTCAACAGTTGGTGGCTGCTTGTTGCCCTTCAACAGTTTGATCTTGGAAAGGCTCTCCATCTCTTTGATCTTCCTTGCAACGAGGCCGTTTTTGGTTGGTCGTGTTTTCGGGATACCTCGTTGCTGAAGGTGCCCCTCCAAGCTGGGTCTGCCGCTGGTCGGTTGCTGGGCAGGGCGTGTCCTATCTCTGTGGAGCACATCTGCACGTGCAGTTGGCCGATCGTAGGTCTGCTTGGGCTGTTCACGGGTTTGTGAGACTTCTGCTTTCGCCGCCGAGTGTCCTAGAGCCCTCAGATCTGTTACAAGTCAGTTTTGGGTCGAGGTGATGGAAGTGGACTGCGACATACCATGCAGAAGTTTGTGACCATCTGGCTCACTTCCTCGCCATTGCCCGTTGTCACGCTTAGCCCACAGCCTCCTCATTGCGTCAAGCTCAAGATGATACTCCAGAGCCCCGGAAACTGGTATGCTACTGCATATCGCTACCATGTCCAGCGTCTGGCTGTGCACTTCGGCGTCCGCATTAGCCTTCACGAGTACAACCTCCAGCGTGCTTAAGGGTTCCCTGGGTTGGGGTGGAGGAGAGTCGCCGCGGCATACAAACTCCAATGAGTCGGGACGCTTCGCAGATCGGAAGCTGAGCTTGCGACGGAGGATCTTGGGCCCCGCTGGACTTGCTGAGCGACTCCGTTCTGTTGGCTGACTTGGGGTACTGTCCTGACCGGTGATGAGAGTGGTCACTGTGCGCAGAGAATCGATCACGATGGAAGTGTCTTCCTGTGCATCCTTCTTTCTTTTAGTTGCGCTGCGTACAACTGTAGCTTCTGCACTAGGCACTGGGAGCTGGATGCGAATGTTTGAAGCACGAGATAGTGCCGATTTGACCATGTGAGGTGGTGTACTGCTCGTCCAGCATCCCCAGTACTTGCTAATGTCCTTCTCGGCGCTGACATGGGCACCACCAATGTCAGACAGGTCGATGAGAAATAGGCTGTCGCGATAGAGAATGTCTAGTCCCAGCTCACGCGCTTGCTTACATACCATCAATGCCGGATGCATCATAAAAGATCGGATATCGATGGTGCTCGGGCCATGGCGGTGCCGGCGTCGTGGCTGGGGTGTGATACGCGACTGGTATGGTGTGATGGAGACCGCGCGTTCTTCAGCGAAAACGTATGACAATATGTGATTGACTATTGCCTGGGGAAGTTGAAGGAAAGAACGCGTCGACTCTGGCGAATCTTTGGTAGCTTTTGTCGTAGGTACTGTGCTACTCAAAGCACTGGCGGAAGTAACATTGGTGGCGTAAGACTTTGCTGTCGATTTTGATGAGGCTGAAGATCGATCCGATTCGTCGACGAGTGATTCGTCAAGCATTATCATACACTCTATTGTATGCGCATCCCACTTGTCGTCAAGAGTTTGCGATGCCGCTGAGGTGTGTATCGGCTCTTTTGCCATGTCGCGTCGAGGCTTTGCGTGGACATTGCAATGCCGTGATGATCCCGCTTTCGGTGGTGGTAAAGGCTTATTTTGACCGGGGAACAGGTCTTGCATGTACTTTTTGGTTGTGGCATACGCTTTGGGATCGAGTCCGTAGTTCGCAAAGTCAACGCTGAATCGAGGGTCTGGAAGCTGAAGTGCAAGTATCGAACGGGGCGTAACCTGCGCCATAATGATGAAAGCCTCCTGTTTGTTGGTGTTGGAAGGCTGTGAATTGCGAAATGAGTGACGAGAGTGGGGGCAACCAAAGACGAAGGAGTAGAACAAGAATAAGTGGACGAAAGCCTGCGCCACTAGATATGAAGGTAACGACAGAGTCAGAGTCCAGCTCTCAATGGTGAACGATCGACGTGATCATCAACGAAGCTGGAGAAGACGATAACTCCATTCTTAACCCACATTAGATGGTGATCACACCGTATACCCTGTCTTCTTCCCATGTACAGACAGACCCATGGCTAGCAGATTCAAAAGCCGTTACGAAAACGGGCCGGGCACAGATGTGATGTAACCGTATGTCCTTAATCTTTGGAGGCGATGTGAGGCCTGATCGTTTACCCTGATCCCATTCGCTCGATGTGAACTCTACCCACAAACATTTCTAATGGCGCTACTAGGGTATCTTGATCAATTGATAGTTGCCGTTGATAAGGCTCCGTCGCGTGGTCGAGACCAAGGTTCATTACTCAATTGCGAGCAGCTGTAAGAGAGCGGGAAGGGCCTGAGGCTTCATCCGAGACTCAGAACGTTCGAGCGTCAATGCAGAACGAAAACCTGAAACCTGACGTACCAGATTCGGCAGATCGACATGGCTGGGAACTCATCGTAGAGTGGAGACGATGCGCGAACGCGACCGTGTGCAGGCAAGCGTTTGCTACCTCAGTGGGTGGGGATGAGGCTGTCCAGAACGCACAAGCGACGTGCAATGTTTCATGCCTTGGGCATTGACGAGACCCATGGCGATGGGCGGCTGAAGAGGTAGCCGAGATGTACCGACTGCATATGGAGATGAGGTATACTTGAATTGCCGAAGCCTGTTATGAAGCTAGTTGCGTAAAAGAGGTCGCCCACGTTCCTTTCCTGCAGGTACTCCTCAAGATTGTGCAGGATGAAGGAAACATGGAAGCCGCTGATGGCGAGTTCAGCTAGCGCCTGTCGCGCCAAGCCCCCGTTGTTTTCGAGGCCTGAGGCCTTCCGTCCGGCCCCACATGCGCGTCACGACCATGCACCTCGCTTCGTCGACTTTGCGTTCAAAGCCGCGTCTTCTCCCTTGACGCATCACTACAATACGCGCCCGATGCCGGGGCAAACTCCAGAGGGACTCACCATCGTCTGGGCTGCATGTACATCCATGTCCGCGGCGGATTGGGAATGTGCATTGGGCCTCGTGGCCCCTATCCATCGCATAGTTTCTTAATGTCCCGTCCAGTATTGGAAACAGTCGACAAAATCCCCAGCCACTGTCCGGAAAAGCTCGGGAAGGCTTTCGCGAATGAAACCAACTCTGCACGCATCGCACGACCATACACATCGACAAAACACCCATCCGGTCCGGCGCCCTGGTACACGTCCAAGAAGGAAAGCCCATGGCGCAAATATGGCAAACATTATAGCCACTCATCATATGTAAAGGCATTTGTACAGTTCAAAGGGTCGCTCGATGGGCTTACAAGTCAGTACCCTAGTCACCCCGTTCATGCGACGCGTTGATATGGGCCATGATTGCCATGATCATATCAAAACACAATACAGACAGGACCGTCAAGCTCCTATAGATCACTACGTGTTAAGATGCCGATCTCTACATAACACCCGCATCAGGATACTTCGTCCGGTCTTTCGAATCATGAAGACTTTCGAGCTCTTTCCAACGATTGAGCAACACGCAGGCGCAAGGAGTTTTGTCAGGGAAGGCGGCATTCGCCGTGAACCCGCTCATCTAGGCTAATGACCGGTGGTCAGTTTCATATACGAGTAGCTCTGAAGAATCACCCGATATCGGACGGTTGCTGGCTTCATGAGAATGTGATTATGCATTCGCTGCCGGAATAGATAGCGATCATCTTAAGCATGCGATCCGATCCTGTTCACTTTCGTCTTCAAGTGGATGATCTCCTCTGGCAACACCTTGGCCATAGCAACTACACTCGGCGCTGAAATACACTTCGATTCATGAAAGTTCTACACACATACTGCAACGCAAAGTCGTCAAACTAGTGCGTATGAATCCTTCCTTCGTATGCAGGCATGCCTGCATATCGTAAGTCTACAGTTCGGTCTTTAATCTCACGTACCTACTCACTTATTCGCAAGCATTGACTCAGGCGATGACTTGCCCTCTGAAGCGATGTCGCGGATGAGTTCGCGCACCTCATCGTCGTTCATTCGTTCCACTCCCAACAGCGCGTTGTCGTCCAATTGCTCCCAGCGTGGTGCGGGGACTGTTCCCGCAGACCATCGAATCATGTCGCCGATAACCTCCAAGTCGACCTTTCCCGCCATCATAGCCTCAGTCGCGCCCTTGAGCTTCGAATCCATGTCTTGGTTCGACTCGTCCCAGCCATCGCTACCCAGAGCCTCCTTCGCCAGGCCCACCATCTGCTTTTGACTCTTGATCACGTTGGAGATGTAGAAAGAGCGGTTCTCGGTATGCTCGGCCTTCTTTAGTACGTTGGCGACAGCAGTACTGATCGAAGAAAGCATCGTCCAAGGAAGCGGGTTCGTGCCGTCGTTCATGTATCGGGCCTTCTTGCTGCGAATGTCGATGTTGATGAAGCCAGTTCGCAAGTTCCAGTCAAGGAAAGCTCCATTCGATATGGTAGTCCACGTGATTTTGCCTTCAGCAGCGAGTTGCTTGATCTGCTTGAAAGCCTGGTTCTTCCCATGGTGGATGAGTGGCGATCTGGCTACGGGGTCCTCAGGGTCGACACTGAACTCACCCATCACTATGCGATATACTCCCGCGGAAACAGCAGCTTCGATGATTCGTCCCTGGAGGGTGGGATCAGGACCAGATGTCGCATCCACGATAGCATCCTGACCGCGAAGAGCTTCAGCGATTGCAGAGACCGAGTTGGTGTCAACGACTTCGACGGACACACCAGAGGGGAACGTTTGCCCTCCCTTCCGAGCAATCACCGTGACAGTGAAGTTGGCTTCGAGTAGACCGTTCAGGATGGCGGACCCCAGGACACCCGTCGCCTGCGCAATCTCAGTAAGCAACTCCTCATTCTCGTGCTTAAAGTTGTGAACTTACACCAGCAAGTGCAACATTAGTGATCTTGCTGGACATGGCTACTGTGCTTATTGTTGATCTCAAGGAGCATGTGAGGTGATAATGTTGGTGTGCGATGCAGTGATGTTTGCGTGAATGAGTCCGCTGTTTTAATGGTCAAATGATAGGTTGCGACAATGATTATATACATGTGGTCACCTTCGAAGACGGACTGGACTCAACCAGGTACATCGAGGCACTTAGCCCACGGTCTTTCGTCCGGACTGCACAGCAAACTATCAACAGCCAAGGGTTGTCGGCCAAAGCTCAGTCAGCATCTCCTCCGCGTCGCGAAGATTAGTATATAGCGCCCATGCTGCACCGGGCCAGCGCATTCTTTACATCCGTTCCGTCTCGCCTCTTTCCGCCCCACTTACCCGGAAATATACTGCGTCATCGAAGATCTGAGTTGCGAAAAATTAAGGTGCTATCTCGGGCATGAAACCTAGCGTAGAAACGCGGGGTCTAAAAAGTCCCCGAGATGTTTGTCAGGTAAACGCCGTCTAAGTGAAGCTAGGCCTCGGCAGAAGCGCGAACATTGGCGGAGAACAAGCACAATACAGTTTATGGCAAGGTGGGGATTGTTCTTTTCGCAATAGGTACAAAAGGGTCATGAGGTGCTGACTTGTGTAGAGTAACCATTGCGTAGTGATCACCAGTACGGCAACCGACAAAACTCTACATTACTTTCGGAGTCCGGAATACCGCAAGCTCGCGGCACTACGCCCAACGATGGAGTAAGCTTCTCCTTCCTTTCTTTAGTAGTCAATGCTAACCAGGGCAGGAACAACCATATCTCGAGAGAAGATGATTCGTACTACGACCTTGGCGAATACAGACGTGAAGCCCTGACGACATCTCACGAAGCGCAAACATGGTTCGCTCGTGGTCTTGTATGGTGCTACTCGTTCAACCATGAAGCAGCCGCGCAGTGTTTCGAGGCGGCCACTGTGCATGATGCGAGTTGCGCATTAGCTTATTGGGGTATTGCATACGCCGTTGGTCCCAACTACAACAAATCATGGCGTATGTTCACACCGGAAGATCGCACAAGGTCCATCGAAAAGATACTGCATGCCTTGTCGCAAGCCAATAAAGTCGCAGCCACTGCCTCGCCTGTGGAGAAAGCACTCATCACGGCTCTCAACGCTCGCTTCCCAACGAGTAACACAGATGTTCCAGACGACTTATCGGCATTCAATTATGCCTACGCCAAAGCCATGCGCTCAGTCTACGAAGAGTACAGGGAAGATCTCGATGTGATCGCACTATTCGCCGATGCCGTCATGTGCACTCGTCCGCGTCAGCTCTGGGACCTCAACACCGGAAAGACTACAGGCACAGACGTGGACGAGGCGAGAGCCGCTCTAGAGAAAGGCTTGGCACGTTCCGATGGTCTCAAACACCCAGGTCTGTGTCATCTGTACATCCACATGATGGAGATGTCGCCTTTCCCCGAAGTGGCTTTGCCCGCGGCTGACAGTCTGCGACGACTTGTACCTGATGGCTCTCATATGCAACACATGGCCACACACATCGACACAGCCTGTGGCGACTACCGTCGCTCTGTCGATTCGAACTTTGACGCTATACGTGCGGATGACAAACACTTCGGGAGTGGGGCCAAAGCAGCCCTCATCTACAACGCGTATCGATCGCATAACATCCACGCTATGGCCTACTCTGCCATGATGTCTGGTCGGTCTCGGGACGCTCTCTATGCTGCGACACGGATGTCTGAAGTCTTGACTCTGGAGTTCATGTCAATCAAAACGCCACGAATGGTAGACTGGACCGAGTGGCAACTCGTGACGCTGCCTCACGTATTGATTAGATTTGGTCGCTGGGAGGAAATTCTCGAGCTACCGGAGCCAGTAGATCCGGTTCTACTCTGCGTCTACAAAGCGACAATTCATTATGCCAAAGGGATTGCTTTCGCAGTACTTGGGAGGATCGAAGAGGCACACCAGGCAAGAGACGCTTTCGAGAAGACCCGTCAGTCCGTACCGGGGGACCGTATGTACAGTCCCTCGTCCGCAGCGGCACCAATCCTAGCTGTAGCATCGGCCATGCTGGAGGGCGAGTTGGAGTATCGCAAGGGCAATCACTCTCAGGCATTCTCCGTCTTACGACACGGCATCAAGTTGGAGGATAATCTGGCCTACGCCGATCCGCCACTCTGGATGCAGCCCGTTCGCCACGCTCTGAGCGCACTCCTTCTCGAGCAAGGCCAGTCTAAGGAAGCCGAACTGCTTTATCTAGAGGACTTGGGATATAGTGATAGCCAGCCTCGTCGGAAAGCGCGCATAAACAACGTCTGGGGACTGCATGGCCTTTATGAATGTTTCGTGCGAAACGGGAAGCAGGAAAAGGCCAAGAGCATACGCCTCCAGCGTGACATTGCCGTGGCCTCCGCTGACGTTCCCATCAAGTCTTCATGTTTCTGTCGACTGTCAGCGTCAAGCAGTAAGCAAAGCTGTCATTCTATCTAGGTAGTGGCTTGCCAATTTGGATGAGTAGATAATGCCGTTTCCGTTCCTTTCGTCGATGAATCTATGGCGTGGCGCTGTCAACATCAAAGTTCGGTTCTCAATTGCTTGGCAGGCGTGAAACATATGCAAATACTACTCTATGATATTTATGATCACAACGTAAGACTTCATGCATGATTGATGACACAGATAAATTACAAAGGGTAGCATTCCAAGAGACTTTCTTCACAGGGATTGAATCCGACCCCGTCGTCTATCTTCGAAAATCACTTCCCATCCAAGAACTGCAGCTCCTCGGCTGTGGAAGTGCGGCCCAACACTTCGTTACGCTGCGGGAAGCGCCCAAACCGGCGAAGAGCGTCCAGCTTGCTATCACAGATGCTCGTGATAACACCTTTCAGCTTCCCAAAATCACTCCTTCGTTTGAGAAGCACAGCGCGCTGCTGGGCAAACTCACCGTCCGATCCCTCGACATCCCTCTCTAGCAGCCTCTCATAGTCACAGAACATGTCAAAGTGTGCTTTTTGTAACATTTCCGCTACTTCCAGGCTTTCACAATGTTCCATCGGCATATAGAACCAGAATCTGTATGCCAGTCGAAAACGAACTTCTGGGTCCATTGAAACTCCAGAGTCAATTGCTTCGGAAGCCACTGCCAAAGCTAAGCTGTCGAAAAAGGTGTAGGCTACACGAGCTTGAGCACCCCGGAAGCAGTTTCTTGGCAGTTGGTCAAGCAGTATGATCAGACTGATCCAATGCATAGGCTTGTATGGCTTCGCTGCTGCTACGATGTCCGCTCCAGTTGGCTCTACAACCTGGATGAGTTTGAGCAATCCGCCAAACTTATCCCTAGGGGTAGGTAAGTTTTTGTTCGCATAAGGTATCAAGAATAAGCTGAGTACTTACATGCATTCTTGGTCGTACGCGTCGTTCTGTGAGAACCATGGTGCCGAGTCCTCGATGCTAGGACTGATGATGTGGTCGGGGTCTTGGAGATGCCGAAACCAAAAGGTTGAGATCTCATCAAGTTTAGCATGCGACAGCGTGCTTTCGAGAAACATCTGCGACATAGTTGCAAGCTGATGGCTGCAAGAGCTGTGAAGTGGTCTGACCGTATGGAGGTGTCTGGGGTGGTAAGGCAATGTAGGTCTTCTCAACGCAGTCACGTACTAAACGCAGTCCAGGCTCTATGGCACCACGCGTGATGCCAAGCTGATATGTCAATACAAGTCGACTACATTCATCCACTGCTGCAAAACTCGTCCGAAGTTTCAACATGTCACCTGAGCTGCTATCGGTGTTCGCTGCGGACTTAACCATCTTCTAAGGACATGTTCAGTTCTAGTCGGCCCGATTGCCGGCACCGCTAAGACGAACGTACATCCGTCCCGTTCAGCTTAATGCATACGCTACATTGCCATTTCTGGCGTCAATTGACAGATATGGTAACACTAAATCTTCGACTACGGGTGTTGCCGCTCCCGACTTCGTAAGCAGACTGTCCTAACGTCAACTTGTTGACTCGCAAGCTCTACACTGCGACCAGAGACCCCGGGTTTACCACCAGAGGACGAAAAGCTACATCACGCGCGGTTCATCGAATGAGGCACGCTCGCCTCATCAGTAATCGCGACCCACTGTGTCTGGTGGGCGTTAGTCAAGGTTTGCGCGAACGAGGAGAAAGTTCGTCCGCTTCATCGACGCGAGGCGGAGGGTACCATGAAAGCATGCTGGAGAAAGTGGCTATGCGTGAGAAGTGCTGTGAGGTCAGAATGCGTGGAATAGACGCAGTAGTGGCAGTACTGCGTGCTGGCTCGGTATATAGATCGTTGCAATGACATCCTTTGTGCCTGCCACATCTCTTCTCAATCACTTACTTATACTCTAAGAATTGTAATCTCTCTTATTTAATAAAGAGTACCTTTGCGTATATAGTAGTTATGTAATTTAGAAATTATAAGTAGCTTATCTTACTCTATATTATTATTTATTAGCAAACTAATTCTACAGCGCAAACTAGTCTAAAAAGAGTAAGGTCTATTACTAGTACACAAAAAGACATATTTCTAAAAAGGTTAAAATCTTACGTTTAGAGGTGTAGACGTTAGATAGGCTAAGGCTTAGGTCTTTAGCGCTACTACCTCTAGCGTAGTTAAAGCTTTTAAAATTTAGAGTAGTAAGGTAACTATTTTATAAATACTAACGTCTACCTATACTATAGTAAAGAGAATTATAATATAATTATATATTCTTAATAGCTTATAACTAACTAAGCTATAGATTGCAAAGTAATAAAATACTAAAATCTTAGCTTATAAAATTATGCTTCTATATATATACTTTCTATTCTCTACCTTTATTTTTATTTTATAGCTTATAGTAAAATTAGAGATCTAAAGACTTATTAAAGATATAAATAGTAGCTTAAATCTAATACTAAAAGCTATACTAGTATACTAAATAAGCTCTTAACTGCGTTACTACTCTTTTATAAGTTCTTTTAGCGTTAGTAAGTCTATCTAAAGCTAATCTTATTACTAGTTATATTACCTCTATTAATTACATTCTTATACTACGTTACTTATTAAAGCTTCTATAGACTGCTCTAAGACTACTACTAAAAAGAAAGCTCTTAGTTAGGCTGTTCTAGTAATTATTATATAGACTATTATTAAAGCTATTATAGAAGCTATTATTAGAGCTCTTAAAGCTTACTTTACTTATCTTATATTATATTTTAAGACTGCTAAAACTATTACTACTATTAATACTATTAATACTATTAAGATTATTATGCTACTACTATAAAGGCTCTTAATATATAGACTAAGACTTTTTATAATTCTTTATTATAGCTAAGCCTTTAAGTAACTTACTAGTAATATATAGAAGTTCTTTTATAAGCTATACCTACTTTAAAAAGAGTAATAAAATAGTTATTATATTACTAGCGTTACTCTTTTTACTTAAAGTAATTTATTAATTATTTACGCTATCTATACCTATAACTTTATATATAAGCTTAGGCTATAGACAGCTCTACTTATAAAAATAAAAGTAGCTATTATATACTAGCGTAAGGCGTTTATTAGAATTCTTAGCTAAAGTAGTAATAAATAGACTAAAAGAGATAAAGCGTTTAAAGCCTACCTCTAGTGTAATAATACTATTAAATAGATAGTAGCTGTATTAGTATTCTACTATTATAGTTGCCTTTAAGAACTAAGAGAGTAGTTATCTTTATTAGCTTAAGTTGTGTTATATTAATAGCTAAAGATTAAATGCGGTAAGGCGTTAATATACTAATATAGGCGTTACTTAATATAAAGTTTCTCTTCTTAGTAAGGCCTTAAAAGTGATATATTATTAGTCTATATAGAAGCCTTAGTGCTAATAGTAATATACACTAAATGTATTAAAATCTTAAAATCTCTTAGTAGTTCTAGAACGCAAGCTAAGCGTCTTTTAACGTCTTTTTACTAAACAGAGTCTACAAAATTAGGCACAAGGTACTAATCTATATTATTATAGTACTATAGATAAAATAAAAAAGAACTAGAATATTAAATTATATATACTATAGTAAGTTAATAGTTAAGAAATATATAATACATACTTTAGCGTTTTTATTACTTTTATAACTTATACTATATAGTATCTTATACCTAATTTTATAGACTCTATTTAGTAAAAAGATATTAAAAGACGCCTAGCTTTTAAAGTTATTCTAGAACTACTAGAAGATTTTAAAATTTTAATACATTTAGTATATATTACTATTAGCACTAAGGCTTCTATATAAACTAATAATATATTACTTTTAAGGCCTTACTAAGAAGAGAAACTTTTAGATATTAAGTAACACCTATATTAGTATATTAATACTTTACTACATTTAATCTTTAGCTATTAATATAATATAACTTAAAACGCTAAGTAGCTAATAAAGATAACTACTCTCTTAGTTCTTAAGAGTAACTATAATAGTAGAACGCTAACATAGCTACTATCTATTTAATAGTATTATTATACTAAAGGTAAGCCTTAAATACTTTATTCTCTTTAGTTTATTTATTACTACTTTAGCTAAGAATTCTAATAAACGCCTTACGCTAGTATATAATAGCTACCTTTATCTTTATAAGTAGAGCTATCTATAGCCTAAGCTTATATATAAAGTTATAAGTATAAATAGTATAGATAATTAATAGATTACTCTAAGTAGAAAAAGTAATACTAATAATATAATAACTATTTTATTACTCTTTTTAGAGTAAGTATAGCCTATAAAAGAACTTCTATATATTACTAGTAAGTTACTTAAAGGCTTAGCTATAATAAAGAACTATAAAAAGTCTTAGTCTATATATTAGAAGCTTTTATAGTAGTAGTATAATAATCTTAATAGTATTAATAGTATTAATAGTAGTAATAGTTTTAGTAGTCTTAAAACATAATATAAGATAAGTAAAGTAAGCTTTAAGAGCTCTAATAATAGTCTTTATAATAGCCTTAATAATAGTCTATATAATAATTACTAAAACAGCTTAACTAAGAGCTTTCTTTTTAGTAGTAGTCTTAGAGTAGTCTATAGAAGCTTTAATAAGTAACATAGTATAAGAATATAATTAATATAGGTGTAGAGATAGAGAGGCAATATAACTAGTAATAAGATTAGCTTTAGGTAGACTTACTAACACTAGAAGAACTTATAAAAGAGGTGTTAGCAACGCAGTTAAAAGCTTATTTAGTATGCTAATAAGTCTTTAGATCTCTAATTTTACTATAAGCTATAAAATAAGAATAGAGATAGAGAATAGAAAGTGTATATATAGAAGCATAATTTTGTAAGCTAAGATTTTAGTATTTTATTACTTTATAATCTATAGCTTAGTTAGTTATAAGCTATTAAGAATATATAATTATATTATAATTCTTCTTACTATAGTATAAGTAGATATTAGTATTTATAGAATAGTTGCTTTACTACTTTAAATTTTAAAAGCTTTAACTACGCTAAAGGTAGTAGCGCTAAAAACTTAAGCCTTAGCCTACTTAACGCCTATACCTCTAAACGTAAGATTTTAACTTTTTTAGAAATACGTCTTTTTATATACTAGTAATAGACCTTACTCTTTTTAGACTAGTTTACGCTGTAGAATTAGTTTACTAATAAACTTATACTATAGCTACTAATATTTTTTTTATTAATATTATAGGCGTTAAGATTAGTTTTTAAAGAACGCCTATACCTATAAATAATATCTTAGCTACCTCTACCTCTTTTAATTTACTTAATATTAATAAAGTAGCTAGTATATTATAAGCTAACTTTTCTACACTTATCTCTACTATTACTTAGCTTATTATTTTTATTATTACTTTACTTATAGCTTTACTTATTAGTTAAAATACTACTTATTAGTAAAAAAATAGTATATACTTCTTTTAGGTGTAAAGTATATAAAAGTACTATTAACTTAGAATTTAGCTAACTATATAAGTCTTACTTATATAGTATAACTAAAAGTAAACTTTAAAAGATAAGTAGTAAATAATTTACTTTACTATCTTTTATAAGCTAGCTTTATACTAATACTATAAAAGTATAAGTACTTTAGTAGTATCTACTTCTAGCTTAGAATATAAGTAAAACGTATTAATAATATTATTTATAGTTATAGCTTAAAAGTATTAATAGAGTAAAAGTTTAAAAATAGTAGTAGCTATTAAGTAATAGAATCTATATTTAGGCAAATGTGTGTCTTATGTGTATCTTATGTAGGCCAAACGCGAAGGAACGACCGCACTTACTTGTACTACCACTCTCGATCAGCTTTCTTATCCAATGACCCAGAACAAAATGCTAGCAACTCGAACATTCTCAGCTTTGGTGGTGGGCCTACTGTTATCTGGCTCATTGGCTTTACGAACACGTCAGTCCGAGGTACCTACAGACCTTGTACAGCGTGGTCTCGCAGCCATTGGCATCAATCCCAACACCTCCGACGTGCGCAATGTGAGGATCAGTGGCTCTCAATTCCGCACCAAGTCTATCATCACAACGATAGCTCTTGATGGCATGGACCAAACAGTTGTGCCATACGGTAGCCAGACGATCACGTATTCGTACGAGACAGGCAGTCTGAAGCAGCGCATTGATAAGGTTTCTGGCTTAGGGAGTATGTTCTCCCTCTCGTTGCTCTTCGATGAGAAACTGACTTTGATGTCCTAGCTCTTTGGATGTTTGCTCGACCAGAACTCGAACCTATGGACTACTCCGTAGTGGTACAGGGTGGTGATGACGCCTTTGCTGCTGTCGTCAGTGGCAGCTATTCGCTTTTCAACCCAACGGCCGCTCCAGAGGGTTATTTAGATGGTACTACGACCTCTGGGATATTGGTATCAAACTCTGACGATCAGCAGGATATCTCGCGGCGTACATGATCTCTGACGGTCAAAAGTGGGATCCGTTGCTGCTCAGCAAGATATCTGCAAACGACTCCACCCTCCGTTTCGAGCCGGTAGAAGGGGGCTTACTACTCCCAGCAGGTTGGTCATCACCTATCTTCCTTGTCACAACCTTTCTAACCAAATTCTTAGTGTTTGACCAAGCATTGAACGTGTCAATCATCTTCAACCCCGACACCTACCTACCCTTCGCTATCCGCACATACGAAGACCATCCCTTCTACGGTCTCTCGACGAATGATCTCCGGGTATACGACTACACCTCCGTTGACGGCCTCATGATACCCCGTCGTTACAAGACCATGTACAACAACGAGCGCTTGATAACCGACTTCCTCGCAGACGACATATCCGTCAACGTTGAAGTCGAGCCATCATTCTTCGATGTCGTAGCCGAACGCGGTGAACTGAGTACACCCGTTGTTGACCCCGCCTTGACTGCTGAGATCGGCGAGAAGTACGCCAACTACCTCTGGTTTGGGCGCAATAACTACACCATCGAAGAATTTGATGCGCAGCAACCATACGCAGATCTACCTGGAGTCTGGGTTGTTCGACCGCCAGGTGTAGCCTCGTATCGCCAGATCCTGCTCGAGACGGACACCTTCGTTGCTGTTCTAGATGCTCCGGCTGAGATTGTGGCGGTCTTGCTGGAATGGGTTAGAATTAATATCGGAAAGCCAGTGGCGCAGGTGTGGGTAAGTCGGTCATCTCATCATTTCCACCACGTAGATAGGCTTTGCTAACATGGTCAAGCCTACCCATCATCACCACGACCACGCTTTCGGCGTCAAGGGCTATGTCGAGAATGGAGCAGTAGTCGTAGCTCCAAAGATGGCTCAGTCGTATTATGCTGATATCCCCGGCGTCAGCTTCGAGACCTTCGAGTACGTTAGTATACGTGCGTGTTACCCGACGAAGCGCTAACGTATCCCAGACGCGGAGCGCCTTACATCCTCGAGACCAGTGGTTTCCGGGCCGCCTTCATCCATGTTGAAGGCAGCATTCATGCCCAAGACCATAGCGTCGCCGTCATCATACCAGCTTGCTCCACCGAGGATAGCACTGTCGTTGTGTTTGACGCCGATCACGTTGTCCAAGCTCAGCTCATGTCAACGCACAACGACCACAACGAGTTGAGTCAACTGGTCAACGCTATGGTGAAGCACCGTGTAGCGAAGTCTGCACTGTAAGTTGCCAACTTACGCTTCCAAAAGGCGATCACTAATTCTGGATATATAGTCTAGTGCCCATCCATGGTGAGATGGGAAACATGACTGATATCTATGATGGAATTGGTTACTTGTTTCCCAACTACACACCACTCGACTTTGAATACCGTGGCGGCAACTGCACCATTTGAGGCCGATAGAACAAAATATGATGCTTGTGACTTGCAAGATGGCTTACACTGCCGGACTTTCATGTTGATGGTATATGCACAGAACCATTAGTAATGTATGGATCGCGTGCCGGGTGTCGCACCGCTGCACGGGATGTTTTGTCTAGCGTACTCAGCCGCGCTCTGCGCCAAGTTACGTAACCATCTAATATTTCTTGTCTTCAATCTACCAATCTTGGATCCTTTCTATTTCTGTCGTTCATTCTCTCACTCATATGCGTTATCTCTTCATCGGCGTTGCTTTCAATTTTCTGCGATCTTTGATCCAACTATAAATGCGTCAGCAACGGACTGCGATAGAGTTATCAGAATACTCACCCAATGTACCGCCGCCGTCGCTCCAAAGAAAGCAAAGACGACAACGATCATCGCGATATACCCCTTCTTCCAATACGGCGCATCGCTTGCTGGGTAGAGTGCAATACCCCAGAATGTGTACAAGATAGACTGCACCATACTCATAATGTACAGCGTGACCGACCGAGAAGCGTCATCACCACTGCGTTGAGAGATCACGCTAGCCCATCCGTACAGAATGGGGTTGACGATGTACGAGGTACCGGCCAAGTAGAACGCGAAAAACGTTCCAGCGGTCGAAAGATTGGGTATCAATAACAGGACTGCGACCAACAGCTGTAAAACACCGGCTAGTAAGACCATGGGTATGCGACGATTAGTCATGTCGATTACGTAGCCCGCTCCGACGTTCGACACGATAGATACGGCTTGAATACCTAACGGGTAGGTCGTAGTGGCATACGAAGAGAACTTCTCGCTGTTTGCTTTCATCCAGAGCAAGAATAGACCTTGCAGAACGATCGCTTCCAAAGCACAGGCTACCACAGAGTAGAGAGTGAATATGTATACGTCCGGTTTGGCTAGCAGTCTCTTAACAAGGGATTTGAGACTGATGTCATGGCTCCAATCTTTCTTCGGTGGCAGGCGGTCTATCGCTAGCTGTATCTCCTCCTTGCTGAGATAGGGGGCGTCTGTCGATTCTGGCAAGTTAGGAAAGAACATGAGTCCAAAGATGCCGAAGGGGATTCCCATTGCACCATCTGAAAGCGATTAGTAGCGATGATTAACTCCAAGAGATGGACGTACTGATAATGAATACCCATTGCCATCCTTGAAGCGAAGTCTGTCCATGCAGACTCTCGTTCATCGCGGTCATCATCACACCAGCGAACATACTGCCAATCTGCCCAATAGCCGTGAAGATGGCTGTTCGCTTGGCAATTTCCAAGGGCTTGTACCAGCTACCAAGGATGTAGATAGTGCCGCTATAGAGACTTGACTCAAAGAAGCCCTGGAAGAATCGAACTACGCATAGCTGGGCGTAGGTCTTGCATACTGCAGAGCACATGGTTAGGCCGGACCACACTAGCAGTGTGAACGGCAGCCAAAACCGCGGTGCGACTTTTTGGAGAATGAGGGCATGGGGTATTTGACCAACACAGCTGCCCGCAGTAAACATGGCAAGCAGAATGCTGTATTGGTCGCCCTCGAGTCCGAGAGACTCCTTCAATCCAGATACGTAGGCATTGGCGAAAGCGCTGCGATCAAGATAGTTGAAGAAGTATGCAGCGCAGCAATACACCTGGAGGACCATTAACTGCCGTCATGTCAAAGGCATTTTCTTCCCACCAGTATAAAGCAGTCTGCGGTTGATTAGATGCGCAACGTGGGGATCTGACGGGTGGTTCCGACGTACCGAGCTTGCGAACCAGTCGCCTTTCGAGATCTACCATGTTGTCTAAGCGTGTGTAACCAGACCGATCATGATGAGAGCGAAGCATAGCTATTGCATCCATCTGAACTCATGCAGGGACGACGCGATGTGGAGGTCATGGTGACGGTACCTTGCTGGCCACAAACGAGCCAATCATATGGCCGATTTTGCTAAGCATGAGCAAGTATCCGTTATCGTAAGAGAGGGTCCTGCGGCAGCCAAGTCGCAAGATTTCGGGGGCGAATATCGTGACCCGTCGATCACGCTTGCCAGGAATGGACTCAGGGTTACTAGCTTTGTTGTGGCGCAGCTACGGGCGGGATCTCGTGATGGCTACCTTCACTTGCGCGATGATTAGGCACCACAACCACGACAATGCGCACAGACTCGACGGCCCGATATGAGGCTACGGGAGAGTCGCACTCACCAGATCGCATTGAACAACCAATATCTACATCCGCACTGAACAAGCAAGATCTACATCAACTCTCCGTATCACCAGCCCGAACCATAGCCAAGCCTCGGTCTGAGTCAAGGACGCGCTTTACTCTCCGCCGATACAACCCATCACCCAGGTAGCTACATACCACCTTCAACATGGCCTTCAAAATGGCCTTCAACAAGCCCCCCTCTCCACACATCATCCCCCCCACAGCCCCCCACACCCACACCATAATCTTCCTCCACGGCCGCGGCAGCACCGCCGCAACCTTCTGCTCCGAGCTCTTCGAAAGCGAAGACACTTCTGTGCGAAAGTTCACCGACATCTTCCCCGGTATAAAATGGGTCTTCCCCGCCGCCCCATCAACCTACGCAGTCGTCGACCGAGAAGTAATCCCGCAATGGTTCGACATGACATCCGTGCAACGGCCCCACCAAGACGCCGATTCACAGAAAGAAGAGCTATGGCAGAGCGTCGCGCAGATTCTTGAGGTACTTGAGGAAGAGATGAAGCCTGTGGGATTGCGGAATGTGATTATAGCGGGGATGAGTCAGGGGTGTGCTACTGGTATTTTTACTTTGGTCACTTCTGGTATCCGTGTTGGAGGATTCATGGGACTGTGTGGGTGGTTGCCTCTAACAGAAGAGCTATCTGAACTCATGGGTGTGCCTGGACGGGAGCGGGGTGTGTTTGAGATGCCGTTGCTTTTGCAGCATTGCAAGGACGACGAGGTCGTACCCTGGAGGAATGGGGAGAAGCTTAGGAAGAAACTGGAAGAGTGGGGTGGGGGAGTGGAGTGGAAGTGCTTTGAGGAGGGTGGCCATTGGCTTAATGAACCTGGAGGTATGGATGGGTTGGTGGAGTTTATTCGGGCGGTTATGAGGGCTTCGCCGATTCCTATACCTGTTAAAGAGGAGAAGAAAGAAGAGGCGAAGCCGAAATTCCAAAGCAGGGATTGGTAGAGCGGTGTAGACTTCTAGGAGGCAAGTGTTGGATGTTTCCCTCTGGGGGTGCACGGCTGAGGGAGGACTTCATTGTAGATGTTGTTTCATATCCATATATGGCTTGAATGTACCTTGGAATGGAGATTGCACTCCTACAACCTCTCACTAGGTGCCTTGCCCTTCATCGTATTCATCGTCCTGCGTCTCCCCTCCACACATCCAGAGAACATGTCTACAGCAAAGTCTTCCCACTTCTCAAAGCCTCCAAATCACCCATAGTAAACCTCACATACCGATCCTCACCCGGCTTCATCCACATAACCACATCATCACCGCCACCCACAACCTTAGTGCCAAACTTGTCAATCTCCATGCCCTCTGCCCGCAGCGGCGCCTTATTCTGCTTCTGGTTATCCGTATTACTCGCTTCCTTGACCAAGCGCAAGAAGATCGGTACTGCGTATCTCGGCAATTTACTCCTCGAGTACTCCAATAGTGCTTTCCAGTCAAACGTCTCGGGGCTGACGCCATCGGCAAGCCGGAGAGCGACGCAGCCAGCGCGACCGTCGTGCCCAGGGACAAGTGTACCGTATACGATGGCCTCGCCCACACCGGGGTATTGTCCGAGAACTTCTGCTACCTCAGCTGTAGATACGTTCTCGCTCTTCCATCGGAATGTATCGCCCAGTCGGTCAAGGAAGAACCAGCGCCCATCGTCATCCCGTCTGAGCGCATCACCAGATCGGTAGAACAGATCGCCCTTCTTGAACACGTTCCTCTCGAACTTCTTTGCCGTTGCCTTTGGATTGTTATGGTACCCAGCGAATGCTTCTTCACTCGGTACAGCGACCAAGATCTCGCCACCCTCGTTATACGAATTGCGCTTCACGAATCCGGTCTTGGGGTCTCGGAGTAGCTCTCCAGTTTCCGGGTCGATGGGAACAGGTATGTATACGTCGTGAAGAAGTCGTCTGATGATAGCACCGTGCTGCGCTACTGTCGTTGCCGTGAAGGGTCCTTTGCTGTGAACCACCATACCAAGAACGCCTTCTGTCGAGTTGAAGAATTCTATTACTTCAGGGACGTTGAAGCGCTCTTTGAATCGGTTCCAGACATCGGGTCGCATGCCGTTGCCGTACATGGCGCGTAATCGGTGGTCTCGCTCCCGTGGATGTGGTGGCGCCATGAGCAGATATCGCGCTGCTTCGCCGACGTAAACGAAAAGGGTAGACTTAGAGTCGTGGATGTCGTCCCAGAATGTGCTGACGGAGAACTTTCGTCCTATTGCCACGCTAACGCCACCTGAAAGCGCTGATAGCACAGATAGACCACCTGTACCGTGGAATAGCGGCATGCAGCAATACCATCGGTCTCCGTTTGGCCCGGCTTTCTGGTCAAAGGCAAGGGTTTGCGGATTTCCTCGTTCGTGGAAACGGTTTACCATGAACTTTCCTCCTTTTGGTAGACCCGTCGTTCCTGATGTGTACAAGAGACATGTCGGATCGGAACCCTTGACGTTCTCTCTGTACTGATCGCCGGGTACTTGGGTGCTGTGCTGCTGAACCTTGCTAGTCAGGTCTCGATCGACCCTGAAAGCTGTGACACCCAACTCTTCCACTGTCGTCCTCACACCCTCAAATCGTTCTTGACACCCCTCTTCTTCGTCAACAAGGACAACTTTCACATCCGCGACTTTAAGACAATGCACCAGTCCTTCTCCTTTGAGGTTGTAGTTAAGATGGGCAGGCGCGGCACCGATAGAAAACAGACCCAACCAGATGACCACAAAGTCTGCGCTGTTCATCATGTAAGTAGCCACCATATCGCCCGGCTTTACGCCTTGGGAGAGAAAGAAGTGTCCCCATTGGACGGCGCCATCGTGAACTTGTTGCCATGTGTACGTTTTCTCCCGCGACCAGATGGCTAGGTTGTTGCTGTAAAGTGGAACGTGAGTCGCGAAAGCGTACCAAGGGGATAGCCTCTTAGTTTTCTCTATGTTGATTTAGCTCCAAACTGCGTCTCGAGGTAAGTAAAGGTATCGCTGGGGCTACATACCGAGTTGCTCATAGTAACTAGCTGCGTTCTTCTTGAACCTCAGTCCTCTCAGGTCTTGTGCAATGTGGTATTTCGCGTTGACGTATGCTGCGAGCCCGGAAATAGCTGCTACAGATGCAGCAGCCGCTGTTGCATCCATCTTGACTGATCTCGGTCTCGGATTCCTCTTTCGGGTAAATGGTGGACGTGGGTGTGAGAGAGGCACTGGGAGTGAAAAGCTTCAATTCAAGGAGGAAACGCAATGGCCCGGCGTGATCGTCTTCCACAGTTGCCGTTTGTCGGTCCTACTGCTAGCTGAGTTCGGAGCTAATAAGTTACCGAGGTCGAGTCAGTTTAGTGGGTCTTGCGAGACGCGTAGTGAGTGCGGGGGTGACCTAGCGCGTCGGACATCTGTACAGCGATTGCTTGTCTTTCGGGGAAAGCTTTGCGACGCGTGGAGCGAGGTTTGACTTATGACGGTGTGTTTGCTGTGGCAGAGGCTTGTGGCTGAGACGGCTACAGATCGCGGTCAATGTACCAGCGATAACCACGATGGTATCAGGATGGGGGTACCCTTGCATACGGATGACAACTATATTTCCTTTCTTATCTGAGAAATGTATATGCTAACCTATGGGTGTCATTCGACGCAGCCATACAACGGCTCGAAATCTCTCGATCGCAAAACGCGTCTTCCTAATGTCTTGAACATGTATTTGGCACAACACGGCCTTTGTCCTATTTGACTGCCTTCTTCTCCTTCTTGCCAATGTTCTCCGTGCCCGGTGGCACCTTGAGTCCTCCAAACACCAATGCGCCGACTCCGACCATGCCGGCAGCTCCGGTCGCATATGCCGTCTCGCGGCCCGCCCACCAGTAGAGCGTGCAGAAGATGAGGGGCCCGAGGGAACGTCCGATTTGACCTGACATATGTTAGCGGATGGTCCGATGGAGATGGGAGTCTTGGCTTACCGAAGCTCCGATGGTTCCCCAGCTTGTTGCCTCGCTCATCAGCGCTCGCCTCAAATGATGAGAGACTGTTGAGGCCGGTAACGACCGTCGCGCTTGTTACTGCAAGAAGCGCGGCGGCTCCGTATAATGCGCCTTGCGTCTGGACCCTTCCAAGCATGATGAACGCGATTGTGCAGCTTACCACTCCCATTTGGACCACCTTGAGAGGATGCATCCGCCGCACTACGGATCCTTGGAGGAGGGATGCGACCAACCCAATGAAACCAAGCAATCGGCCAGAGTCCTTGGCCTGGTAGGAGAAGAGGTCGTATGTCATGAAAGGTAGTGAGAACTCCATGCCGCTGAAGAACAGAATGAAGGTAAAGTGCGTAGCGTTGAGTAGGAAGTGCGAGTTCGTTCGGCCGCGAGGTTTCGGTGCTTCGCTGCCTTTCGCATGCCCGTTCGTGGTACCGTTCTCAGCCTTGCTCGCCGATGGCAGCGTCTCTGGGAGGCTGATGTAGAGGTAGATGGTCTCCGAGACGATTAAGAACAGAGAGAAGCCCGCTGCCATCGCGAACGGGTTCTTGTCCATGACCTGCAGTGTGGACAGGTATGCGCCCAGCGCCGGCCCGAAGGTGAAAGCGATGCTGAAGCACACGCCCACAAGCGCCATGGTCGAACCTCTCTGGCTGTCGTCGCTGATGTCGGTCGCGATAGCCATAGCAAGCTGCACGTTGCCCTCGCTCAGCCCACCCACCACACGACTGGCAAGGAAGGTGCGGAAGTCGGTCGCTGCAACCCAGAGCGCAACGCTGAAGATATTGCCTACCATGGACCACAGAAGAGCTGTGCGCCTGCCATATTTGTCTGAAAGTGTTCCGATGAAAGGAGACGCGACTGCCTGGCACAGCGAGAAGAGCGATCCGAGTGCGCCGCCGAGCAGGACTATGTCGTAGCGGGAGTTGATGGGTTTCGCGAACGAGTTCTTGTACGCATTGAGGCCGGCGAGGATCTTGGAGAGAATCGTGTTCGGGTCTCCGGTTTCATGGTTGCGGTAGAATTCGATGAGTTTGGGGAACAGCGGGAGAATGAATGTAAAGGATATCTGTCAGGGTCAGCCCACGCGAGCGGTTACACGCGACGGGGATGACGTACCAAGTCTAGCAGCAGCGAGATGAACAGCACCTTCAACACCCTCTTCCGCAGTGCCGGCGGTACTGGAGATGTTTCTGAGCCCATGTCGAAGATGTGCGATGGTTATCCAGCCCAGTCGCAAGAACCCCGAAGCAGCGAATGGAGATGTGGACACAAGTAATCGGCGGCAGCTGTCTGGTTAAAAGCAGCACAGCAGCGAACGAATAGAGGGGAAAGGGTCTAGTTCAGCTTGGACTGCAGACCCTCATCTAATGATACACTAGAAATAGAACAAGTCGCGAATTGTGGTCATTGGTGGCAAGCGCCGAAGTGTATTCGGGTCATGACGAAGTTTGGCCGTACGCGGGTGGCTCTGTTCGTGAAACAGGTGGAACAGGTGGGCACGAACCACATACTTGAAACACCACAAGAAAGTATCTGAGGCAGCCACGGCACCGACGCCCACATGGACAGAGTCATTGTACTCCCATGTTGCGAAAAGGAGATGTGGCTTCTGTGAGCGCGCCGCAGGATGAGCAATTATGGCAGGCGCGGATGCGACGCTCGAGTAGACAAGCCGAGGCAATGTGGAGCTTCACGTCGATCATCCATCCCCAGCATCACCCGACTAAGCCGATAGCGTACGTGTAGACGGCGAGCCTTCCGACATTCCAAATGGTCTACCAAAGATACTCGTAACATTCTACATTGTTCCATGCTCACCATGGGCAATCCGGAGGCAGATCGGCTAAAGGCCATGGCAGCCGTACAGGCCATGTTCGAGAAGTACAAGCTACTTGCAGCTCGTAGACCCAAGAACCACGTCGTATGGAAGCATCCATATCATTTAAGAAGCTACTATTAATCATGACCAGGACTTTGACCGGGAGGTCATGCTGAATCTGGAGCTTGTGGATGCCACTCTCGATGGCACCGTTACCTACGAATTCTTCATTGCGCCCAACCTTTCCAACCTGAACAGTATGTGACTAGGTGAAATCGTATCACTTGCTACGTATGGCTGAAATGCGGCAGATGTCATGCACGGAGGTGCTGCTGGAGTCATATTCGACATGTCAACGACGACAGCACTTTGTCCCCTGGCCCGGCCTGGCTTCTGGGAATTTATGGGCGGTGTCACACGAACCCTTAACATCTCCTATCTCAAGGCTGTGCCAATCAACACCAGAGTGCGGCTCAACAGCAAAGTAGTGAGTATCGGAAAGCAGATGGCCATGATCCGAGGCGACATGACCAGTCTGGACGGAAAGATCACATATTGTACCGTGGAGCACCACAAGGTGAACGCACCCGTGATCAAAGAGCATCTAGATGTAAAGACGGCATGGGACGAGGAGTTTGCCAGAGAATGGAAAGCGAAGGGACTAGAAGACGTGAAGAGTAAAATATGATGAACTTGCCCAGACCAAACGCCGAGACATAAATTTTGTACACTTGCTTCGTAGCATGCTGTGACATCATCAAGAGTCTTTGCTCTATCGTGAATGTCGCCAAGAGGGGTATCAAGTAACACCCGCCTATTTCCTCTTGTTGAACTTCTTTGATTCTGCAATGGGTCAGCATCATCTGTAAACCCCGTCTTAGAGACATGATGCTTACCAGCAGCAGTCCTCTTCTTCTTGGGCGCGCCCTTTCCTCTTGACTTTGCAACATTCAGGTGCTCTAACCAGTCTTCCTCCTCTTCATCGATGATCTGGTGTTCGGGGTAGAGGCTTCGCAATTGACTGATTGTTCCTATCCGCGGCGGGTAGTAGGAAGCGATGGCGGGACCCTTGAGGCGCTGGTGCAGGATGCGCGATCCGAGACGGATGCGTTCGGGGTTGTATGTGGTGTTGAAGACTTTGCATTGGACCTGCACACGTCAGTGAGATATACGGAGACGCCTCAGCAAGACTACACACCCTCATCAGGTCCAAGACCCTCTGCCGTGGGACCGCCATTGTGCCTGCGATGCGGGTCTGCGGCGTTGCGGCGATATCTGAAATGTCGCGGAGGTGCCCTTGGCGCTCCCGACTAGCGCGACTGAGCCTCTTACAGCTTTCGAGGGACCAAACTGTCACCAAGCACACGCCCAAAGACTAACCACCATTCCTGGCTATGGCGTCGCAAAAACGTGGCGGGGGCTTCAATCACTATGGCCGCGACCAACAGCACAAGAGGCACCAGCCTCAGCCTCAGCATCGCAACGGCGCGAATCACAGTTCACATCCACCGCAGCCTGAGCTCTCCTCCAAGGACATGCAGACTGGACTAACGGCTCTGCTGGACAGATTTGTCGCAGAAGAGGCGACTGTCGGGGCAGACAAAGATATCCTCCATCACGCGCACGAGCTCCGTCGCCTACTTTGCGCCCGGAACAACCCAATCTCTGCCAGAGCGAAGCGCGAGCTCGATGAGAAACGGCCTGACAAAGCAGTCAAAGTCGCCATACCCGATTACGTCGAGCGCAAAGTACGCGCCGCCCAGGACTTGCCTCCCCTGCCGCCTATCAAAGAACCCCATCTGCACGAAGCCGTCTTCACGCATCGATCCGCCATCTTCGACCCTAGTATCCCCGGTTCCACGCTCGGCGGGGACCTCAGTCTAGACTACGAGCGACTCGAACTCCTCGGAGACGCCTACATCGAACTCATTGCCTCCCGCGCCCTCTACAACCGCTTTCCACACGTCGACGTCCCAGACCTCTGCACCTGGCGCGAACGACTAGTCGAGAACTCTGCGTTGAGCAAGTTCTCCAACGCCTACGGTTTCCCAGACCGACTGAAGCACCGTTCCCAGTGGGATAAGAACTCCAAGCAATACCAGAAAGTCGTCGCCGACATCGTCGAAGCCTACGTCGCAGCAATCGTGCTATCCGACCCAGAGAACGGATTCGAGACTGCAGAGACATGGCTGACTGAGCTCTGGGCACCACAACTTCTTGGCTTCAAGGAGAAGATCATCGAGAACCCTCAAGCCAGAGACCAGCTCAACAAGCTTGTTCTCGGCAAAGGCGTCAAGCTCATCGCCAAAGAGGAGAAACCCATGACCTACGACTCGAACAGCGTACAGTGCTACCACATCGGCATCTACCTCACCGGCTGGGGCTACGAAAACGAATGGCTCGGCAGCGGCGATGGACAGAACAAGGTGCAGGCTGGTGTTGCGGCGGCCGCAGATGCCCTGAAGCGGAACAGCCCGGTACTGCAGGATGCTATGCGGCAGAAAGACGAGCTGCGAGCGGTGCGCTTGAAGGAACAAGAAGAGAAGGAGAAGACTGCAGGAGGCACTGAACCGCAGAACACCCTCAACACTGAAGCGTCAAATGGTAAAGTGTCAGACGATAAGGATGCTACACAGAAGAAGCGGAAAAAGGAAGATGACGATGCATCACATGAAAAGAAGAAGCATAAGAAAGAAAAGAAGCACAAGGCTACGACTGACAATGGTAGCTCCTGACCGCGTCGTGCCACCACGACTGCCGACACCCTTGCTCTCGGGTCGTGACTCGTTGAGGGCGGATGTTCACGTAGCTAATCCATGATGTCTTCCCGTGTAGGCGATGGCTAGGTAGGTAGGTAGGTAGCCATCAAGACATATTCTCTTCGCTCGATGCTCTCGTTTTGATCTCGAGCATCCAGGGCCTGTCCTCCATCACAATGATTCAAAACTCGACGCGGATAAGTAACTCGGCCTGCTAAAGTCTTGTCCCCGTCACGATCATCTATAGGCAAAATTGCTGCACATCAGCATAATGTATGCCTGGATCCCTCTATAGCAAATCTAGACCATGCATACTTAGACGAAGAGATTTGGATACCCAGTAGCATACATCGAATGCAAAGATCCAATTCCCATCACTCACTATGTTCATTTCTGATGTAACGCATTCCACGCGTCCAGCTTTTACGTCCTAAGTCCTTGGTATGCCTGCCCTAAACGCCATTTTCCGCCCAATATTCTCCCTACTTCTTCAGCGCTCGCCCAGCAATGTCCTTGCGATACTGCATGCCCTCAAAGTGTATGCACTCGACGCCCTTGTAAGCCTTCGCAACAGCTTCCTCTAGTGTGGGCGCCGTAGCCGTCGAGGCGATGACACGGCCACCAGCAGTCTTGAGCGTGTTATCCGAGAAAGAGGTTCCAGCGTGGAAGAGGACGACATCTGTAGCGCATTAGCTTCACGGAATGTTACATCTATGGAAAAGAGAAGAAAGGAGACTCACCCTCAGGAACATCATCCAACCTCATAACCGTGCCCTTCGCATAGCTCCCTGGGTAACCGCCTGCGGCTACAACAACCGTTGCCGCGCTCTTACTCGACACCTTAACTTCCACACCCTCCAACCGCCCCTCCGCACACGCCGCCATAACCTCCGCCAAATCCCCTTCCATAAGCGCCAACAGGCTCTGCGTCTCTGGGTCTCCAAACCGGACGTTGTATTCCAGCACCTTCGCCCCGTTCTTCGTCATCATCAGCCCCGTGAAGAGGACGCCTCTAAACTCGTAGCCCTCGGCGCGCATGCCGTCAACGGTGGGTTGAAGGATCTCTTTGTCGACGCGCGAGAGTACGTCTGCGGGTGCGATGCGTGTGGGCGCGTATGTTCCCATGCCACCTGTGTTGGGGCCTTGGTCGTTGTCGAAGATACGTTTGTGGTCTTGTGCCGGTGGGAGGGATTTGATTGTGCGGCCGTCGCTGAAGGTTAGGATGGATAGCTCGTCGCCTTCTAGGAACTCTTCGATTACGACTTCATCGCCTGCGGTACCGAATTCGCGGGTGAGCATTATGTCTTTGAGGGCGGCGTGGGCTTCTTCTTTGGTTTGCGGGATGATGACGCCTTTTCCTGCTGCGAGACCTGAGGCTTTGATCACGACGTTGTGGGAGATGGAGTCGAGATACGCTTTTGCGTCGTCGTATTTGCTGAAGTTCTCGTAGGCGGCGGTGGGGATGTTGTGCCGTTTCATGAAGTCTTTGCTGAAGGTCTTGCTGCCTTCCATGCGCGCGGCGGCTGCGCTGGGGCCGAAGGCTTTGATGCTTGGGAGGCCATTGTCGCGGAAGTAGTCGACGATGCCGGCGACGAGGGGTGCCTCGGGCCCGGGTATCAATAGGTTGATGTTCTTTTCTTTGGAGAAGGTGACGAGGCCGGCGAAGTCGCTGTCTTTTACGGTGGTTACGTTGGTGACTTTGTCGGAGAGGGTTGCGGTGCCGCCGTTACCGGGGCAGACGTAGATGTGCTCGATCGAGGGCGATTGCAGGAGTTTCCAGGCGATGGCGTGTTCGCGGCCGCCATTGCCGACTAGGAGAACGCGGAGAGATTCAGACATGGTGTGCGAGATGTGTACAATGGCTTGTTGCGGCGTGAGGGTGTTTGCGCCTGGAAATTTTTGGGAGCGCATGCCCCGCCGTGGGGTAGCATGCAGGGATCTGCGGGAGTGAGGTCACTCAGCCCTACCAGGTCCCTGAGCTGTCCCGTGTCTACCACTCATGACATCGGACTAGATGTATACGTTGTGAAAAAGCGCAGTAGACACCTCAGTCCACATTTTGCGGCTACATGTTCAAGTGCTAGAAGGATGAGAGTGTTCACATTGCCTCAGCGGGGAGAGGTCATGACCGATGGTCAGATAAAAGGGGGCATTCAGTCGCATGGTCTATACCAATAACTTACAGATGAAGACTTAGGATTGGGTATCGATGTAGTAATAGTGTACATACGTTGAAACGTGCACTGGAAAGCAAGCCGACCCCCTGTTCATACGACGATGGATCTGCCTTCATACCGTCGTCCACCAGACTGCCGACACCTGCAATTGCACCTGCAACCTTTCTTGAGAGATCCATACCAGTAATCCTTCAAGCTTGCATCAAGCTGCAGTAACTGGATGGACACAAGAATATAGATGATCTGCCGATCTTTGCGCTCTTCGTGCGTGGCAAGCCAATAGAGTATGAAGATGGAGACGGATCTCATCAACATCCATGTAATGTCGTAGAGGAGGTGGCCAATGATAAATGACTATCCATCATTCTCGCGCTCAATTGTGCGCTCGTGTTCTCTGACGGAATGACTTGAAGCGCTCCTGGGTGGCTCCGGAGCTGATTTGACTTGAGCGTCGAACTCTGAAGAGGGCACAAGCGTGTCGTCTGACTGCGGCTCTGCGGGCGAGCATTCGCGTTTGCCGAGTAATTCCCGTCGCACAGCACCTGGAGTAAAGTCACATCAGCCAAGGCCATTGTGGTTTTGCTTAGCCTTCATGAAGAGCTGACCTAGCACGTCAGGCTGTGCTATGCCAGGATTCTGCATGTATGGTTGCTGCTGATGCATGCTCGGCATGTGTTGGGTGTTGTGGTTGTGCATGCTGAAACCGGCGTCTTGTTCGCGTTGTTGGCCGAAGAGCTCTCGTAGAGACAGTTGGCGGCCCATCGGGGCAGAGGAGGCGGCCTCGGCAGGCTCGTTCGCTTGTACGGCAGGCTCGAGGGCTTCGCGGCTCGCTCTTGCCCTGTCGGCGATGTCCATCATCTTGGCGGCGGTCTCGACACGGCAGTTGGCGGTTGAGGCAGGTGGCGGGTCGGCGAAGATCCAGATGCCGTAGACCTGCTCGCCCTGGATGATGACATAAGGATCGGATATCTCCATCTCTTCACTGCTAGTGAGCTCCTGGTAGAAGTTGTCCAGGCCGCGACGGTTGAGGATGATGGCGCAGTATCGCTCGGTCCCGATGGGCGAGGGAGTCAGCTGGCAGATGAAGAGAGTACCCTCAATGCCCATCTTCTCCCATGACTGCGTCTCGAGGTTGAAGGTATACAGCGCGGCGTAGGGCGTGACATGCTCTATGGCGACGAGGTCGGCGTACTCGCGACGGAGGACGGAGAAGTTGAGCTCCTCATTCGACCGCGGCGGTGGGAGGGGCACGTCGACAGCGGGCGGCGCGTCCGTCTCGTAGTCTGACGGCTGGGGAGGCGCCTGGTTCTGGTTTGCGCGGGCTTTTCGGTGTGGCGCCATGGCTCGATATGGATGTTTGTTGTGGTGGAGGTGAAGGAGAGCGAGTGTAGACGGGATTGGTGTAGTCAGGCACCGAGCCCTGGAGAGCTCCTGCCCTGCAGCGTGGGGTGTCGAAGAGCTAAGCACAGCCATGGCCAAAGCCACTGCGCCGGCGTCCTGGCACTGCCCGGCTCTTCATCATCGTCATTGCCAGCAGCGGACTGTGGCTCAACTGCCTGGTGCCCGCTTACCCACTCAAAGTAATCGCCATGGGGTGAATGCCTTCCTGTTCACGCAGACCCTGCATTCCTCCCTGCAAACCTTCGCCGCCCACCCTCGCCCTCCGCCATCCTCCTTCACCCCGCCATGGCGCCCGACGCCTCTTCCGTGCGCTCCACTGAGCGCCTTGATGCGACAATCCCCGGCGCATTCGATCCGCGCACGCCGAGCATAGCTTCCATCACCACCCACCAGACATCCCTCTCGCAGGCGCTATACGAGCGCCGCGCTGAGTACACGCGACCGCGCAACGTGCGCATCAAAGTCGGCACCTGGAACACGGGCGCGCAAAAAGGCACCGAGCAGGATGTCGGCAAGTGGTTCGTCCAGGGCAAGGGCATTGAAGAGTCGCTCGCTGGACTCGGCGTATCCGACCCTGGAGAGCACGGCAAGGGCAGCAGAGAGAGCATTCCCGCCCAGGAAGCACGGCACAGCACTTCAGAGCCTACTGTTCCCCACCGTGAATCAGGAGAGGTCCCAGGCAGAGAAGAGGTCGATATCTACGTGCTAGGCCTCCAAGAGATTGTGGACATCACTTCTGCCGCAGAAGCTCTAAGACCCTTCACCGACCCCTCCACGGCAAACAAATGGAAAGCTTCGCTGGAAGCTGTGCTGCCCAAAGGCTATCAGCTGGTATCTGAGCAGCAGCTCATTGGTCTCTGGCTAGTCATCTATGCCTCCCCGGCTGTCCTACCGCAGATCAAGAATGTTAGTACCACAAGCGTCGGTACTGGCTTGATGGGATACATGGGCAACAAGGGCGGTGTCACGACCCGCATCGTTCTGGGAGAGACAACCCGACTCGTCTTCATAAATTCCCATCTGGCGGCTGGAGCGGACAAGTCGTCTTTGGAGAGAAGAAACTGGGACGCAGCTCAGATCAACTCCCGCACACGCTTTGATCCTGTAATAGATTCTTTAGGATCTTCACAGAACGCCGGTGAAGGTTTAGGAGACGAGGACTTTGCCTTTTGGTTTGGCGACCTGAACTATCGTCTCCACGGCATGCCAGGCGACGATGTGCGCCGCCTGCTCACTATACATACAAAAGACTTGGATAAGGAAGAGAAGGATGGTCGGTTATCCACGTCTGGCGACTCCGGGTATGGCTCAAAGCAATCATCTGAAGAAGCGCGCGACGCCGTCCCTATGCCGCCAGAACTTGATCCAGCCTCACTACAAACCACCATCTCCTCCCTACTACCGCACGATGAGTTGCACCAGATGATGAAGAGTGACAAAGCCTTCCATGATGGGTGGGAAGAAGGCCCTATACGGTTCTTGCCGTCCTACAAGTATGACATCGGCAAAGTCGGCGTTTTCGACTCAAGCGAGAAGCGCCGCTGTCCCAGTTGGTGCGATCGCATCCTTTACCGTACGCGAGCATCTAAACAGGAGTATGATACCCGAGTCAGGGAACAGGAGGCGGCGCGTAAACATGCTGAAGAGATGAAGGGGATCGATTTGCCAGGCGACTACGATGTCAACAGTGTCGAGAATGTCTTGTACGCGTACGACGAAGACAACGATGGTGACGATGACTATGACGAGAACGAAGACCCAGAGCCTGAGCCGATCAAGACTAAAGATAATCTTGAGGCTGAGATACTGCTCGAGTACTACACCACTCACATGCGCGTTCTCAGTTCTGACCACAAACCATTGGACGCTGTCTTCAAACTGCAATATGACGCCGTCATCCCTGAGCTAAAGACTGCCATTCATGCCGAAGTCGCTCGAGAGATAGACCGCCAGGAGAACGAAGGCCGACCGTCAATTGCAGTAGTGGTAGAACGGGCGACTGGCTCTCCATCTGACGGGCGAGACAAAACAGACAGCACCTTCGAAGGTGTCGACTTCGGTGACGTCAAATTCGCAAAGTCTACAAGACGTAACATCACAATCGCAAATACTGGTCGGGTACCAGCCACCTTCGGTTTCGCTGATCGTCCCGTGGACAAAGACCAGCCTGCCGGCCCGTTCTTACCGTGGCTCTCTGTTACCTTTGACAAAGCCCAAGACAAGCTTGATAAGCCAAGTCCAGACGACATCCATCAGTACTTCACACTCGCGCCTGCCGAAGTACTCAATGTCGAACTGAAACTCAAGATTGAGAGCCCAAGTTCAGTTCGCGACCTCAACGAAGGGGATGCCGTGCTTGACGAAATCCTCGTTCTCCGCGTCGAAAACGGACGTGACCACTTCCTCCCAATACGCGCCCACTGGCAGCCGTCGGCACTTGCACGGTCCATTGACAAGCTGATCAAAATTCCCGAAGGCGGTATCAGAAAGCTGCAAAACCAGATACCAGCCCGTGGCGAGGTAAAATGGAGCGTGCCTAGGGAAGTATTTCGACTGACCGAGGCGATAGAAGACCTGACGGAGCGAACCCTGGCCGAATGGGACATGACCAAGAGCGAAGGGGAGAGGGCGCCTTGGCAGGACAACGCAGGGTGGCCTTTTGTTGAAGGTCGACATAACAATGGACATGACCGAGAGGATGAGCTTGCGGGGATTTATGAGGCGCTGGACTGCGATACCCAATTTGTCGACGCATTCTACCCTGAGACGCGCAGCACCGAGCGCGTCGAGATGCTAGCTGAAGCCCTCATCACCTTTTTGTCCAGCCTCACAGACGGCGTGATCACCAAGAGTCTGTGGGAAAAGCTAGAGGAAGCTTTAGCCCGTCAGGAGAAGGCCTCGAAAAGTGCATCTTCCCCGTTCTTCACATCTGATGACGAGAAGATGACTATCTTGGAGGTACTAGCAACAGCGCCCAACCACAACGCCACGTTCCTCCTCATTCTCTCCTTTCTCCAAAACATCGCGAACCAGATTACGGAGGTGTCGAAACCGCGTCCCGAAGATAGCAACAAGAGAGCAAGCATGGATATGAGCCTCCCGTCCAGTCCGCAAGCCAAGGTCAGAAGGAAGACGTTAAGTCGGGTGCCTGAACAAGCTATCCGCCAGCTTATCGTGAGGAACTACGCTGTTGTCTTTGCAGATTGTCTAGTCAAGTGGAAGGATGGCGGGAGAGAGAAGGAAAGGGCAGCTAGGAAAGAGAAGATGGTTGGAGTGCTCGAGTTGTTTTTGAAGCAGGACTAAGCATGCACTTGGAAGTTGATGAAGGACTAGTCATTATAAGATGTAGTGATACCCGATCAGTGCTTGGTAATATCAAGCGAACTTTTCTGTATTGCGCTGGATATCCTTCTGTATAACTTCATCGTTTGACACAATTTCGAAGTCGGGTGGTCGATCTCTGTCGGTCAGGACAGTCCGTGGTTCTAGAAGCCGTCCACGCACGCTATACCACACACAGCATAGCGCCACCATGCACGATCCCCGGTTAGAGCATTAGCGCATCCGAGATATCAAAAGTCGCGCTTCTTTAAAACGCACTTCAGCCCCCTCTACAGCCCTCGATCATCAGTTCGATAACATTTGCACCAACAAAAATGTCTTCGACAGCCCCCGCCTCACAAATCCACCTCCGCACCCCCCCAGAGCCCGGAAAGAAACCCGCATCCCGCACCTACCTCATCTACTTCGTAACCGGCAACCCAGGCCTCGTAGAATACTACCGCACCTTCCTCACCCACCTCTACGGGCTACTAACCCACAACACGGCCTCAGACCGCAGCATAGAATTCCAAGTCTACGGCCGCAGTCTCTCTGGCTTCGAAATGAACGACGCCGAGATCAAGACGATGAAATGGCGGAAACAGCCGCCGTATGGGTTGCAGGACCAGATTAGGCATTCGGAGGATGAGCTTGCGGAACTTGTGGAGGAGGTTAAGGAGAGTGGTGGGAGAGATGCTAGGGTGGTGCTGGTGGGGCATAGTGTGGGGAGTTATATTTGTTTGGAGATTATTAGGAGGCTGAGGGCGCATGGGATGGTGGGCGAGGATTTTGAGACGAGGGTTGTTGGGGCGGTGGGGCTGTTTCCGACGGTGGTGGATATTGCGAGGAGTGAGAGTGGGATGAAGGCTTCTGTGAGTGATATCCGCGTTGTTGACTTTCCAGACATATCGCTAACGATCACGTGCAGCCCTTCCTGAAGAACTCAAACTTCGCGACCTTTGCAGCTCTCTTTGTCAACTTTCTTACCATGTTCCTACCCATTTCCATCTTGACAACCCTAATCGCAAAGTTCATGGACTTCCCTACCGACGCCGCGCAAACCACCGCCGCCTTCGTCAAGTCGCCCCACGGCATCCACGAAGCACTCCACATGGCCCGCGACGAGATGTTCCAAATTGACACCGACATCTGGGACGAGGAGATATGGGGTGCCGCCGCTTCAGAGCCCGCAACTAAGCATCCGCACCCGCGGCCCATCCTGCGCTTCTTGTTCGCACGCAAAGACCATTGGGTTGCGGATGCGACGAGGGATGCGCTCATTCACACTCGTGGAAGGTTTAGCCGTGGGGATGGGGTTGAGGAGGTCGAGGGGCAGGGTGAGAATTGGAAACCCGTTATGGAGATTGATGAGAGGGAGGGCTGGCCGCATGGGTTTTGTATTCGCCACGGAGTGCCGGTGGCGGAGAAGGTGGCGGGGTATGTTCGGGCGATTGTGGCGCAGGATATGGCGAGGAAGTAGCGACTCTATTGGTGTGCGCAGTTGCATGGCTTGCAGATACGGATCAGGCTAGATGAGGCCTGCATGAATGGGATTGGTGTTTGTGATGCGAGGCTGAAGATAAGATGCACGTGGTCAGAAGTCATCTTCCCCGCTTTCAGCCTGCTCGCTCAACGTCTTTAACACTCTCAAACCTCGCTACCTAAGAGTTTACACGTTCTATGAGTATTCAATTCACATCTCGCCCCACCTCCGAAATAACGTTCAATACACTCTGCGGGTGACGCCAGCGACATCTTCATTATGTCATTCGAACCCAACGAAACCTCGCCGTCTCAGCCTTACCACTACAATGAGCTACCCCGCGACGGATCCTTCCGCTATCTCATCCTCCAGCCTGGTACTGGGGACGACCCACTGGGTTGCAGCCTGCAAACGGCGCTTCTGTCAGAAACCACATTCGAGGCCATATCGTATGTGTGGGGGAGTAGCGTAAAAGACAAGGAGATTACCTGCGACGACTGCTCCATCAGCATTACTACGAATCTGTCGAATGTACTGCGGCGCCTACGTCTGGCTGATTCGACACGTACACTATGGGCGGACGGGATTTGCATCAATCAAGACGATCTACAAGAGAAGGGCCACCAAGTTGCGATCATGGGGAGCATATACCGGTCAGCGAAATGTGTCTTGATCTACATTGGATCCGACGATGGCGGACATGGGCCGCTGGTGTGCTCTTTGCTGGACGATGTCAATCGGATGATCGACGAGACTTGCAAACACATCGATATGTCGTGGGATTCGTTTCCTTTTCCGCAAGCGAACGATGCCCTCCTATCCGACTCTCGCTGGAAATCTCTAGGCACTCTGTTAAGTCAGGACTGGTTCAAGCGTGGTTGGGTTGTGAGAGAAGCGGCATTCGGGCACTACGATCTCGTCATCTGGCACAATAGCGAATTTACTTGGGAGAGTTTGATGCGGTCATACATATGGGTAGTAAGACGTGCTTGGCATGTCGTTGTCGACGTTGAACTGCCCTTCGACCAACTGCGCTGCCACTGTCAAGCGTTCGAACAGCGCAACCAGGCTTTCACTCAACTCTTGTATGGCGAAACGGTTCAGCCGGATCTATCTCTGCTATCATATCTCAGTATGGCGACCGTTTTGGAACTATGGGACGCCCGCGACAGAATCTACGCTTTTATGGAGCTCTCTGAGAGTGCCGAGCGGGCAGTCAATATCAGTCCTAATTACAATATGGCACCGCTACAGGTGTATCGGCAATTCGGAATAGAGCTCATTCAGAGAACGAAGGACATCCAGATACTGGATTATGTCCGTCATGACCTTGACTGGAGGGATCACGATATACCATCGTGGGTACCCCGCTGGGATATCTGCAGGCAGTCAATTTCGGCACTTAAAGCGGCCCGGAAAACACGATTAAGTGCGCGTGACAGATCGATGCGTGAGCCAAAAGTCATAGATCCTTGTATTCTTTTCGTGAGAGGTGTTGTTGCCGACAGCGTTCTGCATGTTTCAGACATCTTCCAAGCTGGTGATATCGATCGACGAACAGTGAATGAGCTGTGGAATACCTTTTCGCCCATGCTCAACGCTTCACCTTACGGGGCTTCTGCTAGTCTAATCGCCTTTCTCGATTCTCTTAGCCACGGTGCCATCGGTGGAAACTGGAAAGATTGGTTTCGGTCTAGGGCTTCATTGATGGCGCATGTCAACGCCAAGCACGACCTACTGGTCTCCGGTGAACTCGCACACCAGCGAGATATATCAACCAAGGATGACAGCTCTATGTCGCTTTTTCTTGATTTTGTCAGGTCTTGTATGTTTGAAAGCCGACTCATCGTCACAAGGCGCGGATACATCGGTCTGGCTCCTCAAGTCACACAGAAAGATGACGTATGTGGAATTCTCTTTGGTTGCCGGATGCCCTGCATCCTGCGACAAACTGCTCGAGAACAACACTACAAATTTCTCGGGGCAACATGCCTGATGGGAGCGCAACCGATCGAGCACGATGGCCAGATTGTTTTCGCAAGACCACTAGGTCACGACGGAAGCAAAGAGTGGGTAGATTGGGACGTCGAAGAACAAGACATCTACCTAGAATAAGGTGGAAGACTCCGTTATACCAGCTTGCGAATCTTTGAGATGCACAAAAGCTCGCCTGACCACCACAACCAATGCACGTCTTGACCGACATATTAACGTCGTCGGCATTGGCGATAACAGTACCAATACTCCTTTACATACGCCTACCCCTTCCACCGTGTGATATGTTGCCATCTAAAGGCCCTCTCCGATGAACCAACGACGTGATCCACCATATCCCGCTCAACCTCGCCACGATGGCGAGCAACTACAAGATTTGCGATGGCTTCAACGCAAAGTTTTGGAGACACGAGACACGACCATCAGTACATCTTAAACACTGAAACGCATCATAAACATCGTCGTTGTTGAGTTCATAGCTACACAGCATCGTATGTCAGCTGCTACATGTACTCGAAAGCTCTTCCGTCTCCACTTTCATCTCCTTCACCTTCCAGCCTAGCCGACAATTTCGCCACGCCAAGCAGCCCTGCTCTTACTTGCATGCTTCTCGATATGGCGCTGCGCCTCTTCCTTGAACTGCACCTCGTCCCAGTGATAGTTGAGAGTGACGACAGTATTGATGGGGTCGCTGAACTCCGGCACAAGCAGAAGCGAGTAGATGGTATCGATCACGTCTTTGGTAGAAGTATCTAGTGTCCAGTTGCGGTCTAGAATCGAATGGCAGATGCGTCCATGACGGTTGATATTTGGATGGTATATGGGCGTGATGAAGCGTGCTTCTGGTGGTGACATCGGGTATTTGTCGCCCATCTCCAAGTACAGGAGGAAAGTACCACCGGAGTACGTACTATCGGGCGGTCCTATTGAAGTCAGTACGAATGCAGATGCAGAGAGGAGATAGTCTCTTGGGCAATGGAATAACAGTCGACCTACCTTGCATGACAATCTTCCAGAGTCCCATGTTCGATTCGCAGATATAGACGTCGTAGTGCGGGTGCGGCTTGGCGCCTGAGTTACGAATCTCGTTATGTATCCTGCTGAGACGCACATTGCTGTCGGTGCGACTGATGGACGAACTTCGGTTAAATAAGCCCAGCTCCACGAACGACTCTGCGAGCTGTGGATGCTGCTTGCGATCCGGGAATTCGTCGCGGCTGACTTGCTCAACCTTACCCATGAGGTCAGCGACACGGAAGTTGTAAATATCGGGGGCTGCGAGATAAGCGCGACGAAAGATAGAACCTTTGTGGGATCTATCTGGGCGCTCTGACAAGGAAAGTACGGGTTCCATCTCACAGATCGCCATAGCTGCTTCCAGAGTCTTGGGTTGAAAGACGTATCCGCCAGTCAGGAACGAAATTCTCTTGAGATCGGCATTCTTGATACCGGCACCCAAGCAAAACGAGTCGACTACGATGCCATCGCGCAGTAGTCGTGTCGGTAGGCTATGAGCCTTGTTTTTGGATCGGTTGTCTTCCCCGTCGGAGATGCATATGACTCTCAGCTTCGCATTTGGGTATTGCTTGGCGTACTCCTGCAGCTGATCCTGTGCGAGAGCAATGCTGTCCCAAATGGCCGTATCGCCCGCAGCTGTTGTGTTGTTGAGTTTATGACGGAAGTTTTCAACGGCGTGGGTGATCTTCTGTGTAACAGAGGATTTGGTGCTGAAAGTAACCAAACCGAGATGTGTCCGGAAGTTGTATGCGAGCAGACGATTTACGTATGCATCGAACATCTGTTTCAAAACGTCCAAGCGGCTCAGTGTGTTGCGGTACCTCCATTTACGGTTGCCTGGCTGCCGTCCCAGACCTATCTTGAAAACCAAAGGGTGATTACCCCGTGCTGTGTCTCCATGACCAGTATCGTCTGAATCATCGTCATGGAGGAAGTCGTCTATCATATCCTCTTCCTCCAATTTACCGGTACAACTTTCGTTGTTGAAGAACTGTGATATCGGCTCCCAGTGATCCTCCGTGCTACCAGTGTGGTGACCGTCTCCAGTGTTCTGTAAGTTCGTCCAGAAGAAGAAAGGCGGCCCCACAGGGCATGATGAGCGGTTCATGAATCTCTGACGATAGTATTTGAACACCGTAGATGCTAGAGAGTTTGTTGTCTGTTTGGGTAACCAGTAAGACACCACGCTGTTTTTGTAGTCGCTGTGATGGTAGACCTTGACGAGACACAGCTCTTGGATATCGCTGCTCTTGTTTGATACCGTCGGTTCTAGAGGCGTGATGTACACCTCATGAGCTGTGTTGATCATGTCCGTGATAGGTTCTCGGGTAGCTTGAACTCGAGCATTTCGATGTTGTAGCTCATAGCTCGTGTAGCGGCCTTTAGTCAAACGGAAGGCAAGTTCCCATAGGTCTACCGCCTCCAGGTTGTGGGGTACGTCCATTGAGCGCGTCTCAAGTGGTGATCTGAAGGCGATGCGGGTGGTGCGCCAAGAGGCTCTTGTTCTGTTTCTCGATCGTGCATACTTTTCGAAGATGTCTGTACCGTTCAGATATGCATTGATTTGCTCTTTTCTCTGCACGTTGGGCCGTAGGTCATTGCTGGGAAGGATTAAATTCGTGCACGGCGACCGTTCGTTGGTCCGAAGCCTATCAAAAAGTCCAAATTAGTAGCCATTCGGATGTACTTCTGGAAAGCACATCGCGACCGAAGTCGTCATGTTCACTTACCATCTTTCGATCTCTTTCCTCTCGTATGTGAACCCGTCCACGGTAGTCACAGGGTCTTGCATCACGTCGTTGCTGATAGGACAGGAAAAGTCGCGCGGCACTTCGAATGTGGGGCTGTCTGTTGGAGGAAGAGACTTGTACAGCTTTGGTATGACTCCGCCCGGCCTCCACATCAAGGGGTCTGACGCTGACGCATTACCAAGGCAGACAATCAGCCATGCACAAAGCAGGCTCTTATACTTTTGCAAGCGTAGGGAGCGATTGTTGAGAACGTTGATCTCGCGATCGATGATTTCGAATTCGGTTCGATAATACCATTGACTGGCTTGCTGCCTGAGAGTTTCCAGTTGTGTCCGTTTCGCTTCTAATTGCTGATCGTCCAATTGCTTGAGGATCTCGAGCACCTTCTCAGCGTTTTGACGGCGGTGGTAGTCATCCTTTCCCGTGGCAATGATAGCCAGAAAGTCCGTGTACGATTCGTGAGACTTCATGTACTCTTTCAGTGCATCGACGTCGGGTAACTCGAAAGCATCGTTCTCCACTGGTGGCATTTGAGAAGCGGCTACTGTGGTCGGTGTCGCTCGCCGGATCACCATGTCGGCATCCTCGCTTGTTTGCACGTCGTCGAAACCACAGCGGTCTTTCATGCTTGCGCTCAAGTCGACGCAGATCATAGTCACTTCGTCCGGTGCCGTCATCATGCGATGATTATCGCCATATGACTCGAAGACGATGGTCCCGTCAGCCTTCCGCTGGGTGAGGATGGGTTCTAGCAACTGAGTAATGATCGAAACGTCCACTGCTTCTTCTTCTTCAGCACATCCTGGTCGAAACAGGAGGATATCTCTCCCTGCCTCAGCACAACCGGCACGACCCACGTATACCGCAAGAAAGCCATTTCTGTCTAGAGTCAAGACGGGAGCAGAGGCAGAGGCTAGATTGGCGGGCGGTGTGACGCTCAGTTGGTTTCGGCTGCAGAGGTTGGCCAGATATGTGAGATCAACGTACTCCGCAGGCGAAATGATCTTGTTGATGTCACCACCGTCCACATAGCGAGAGCTAGACCTGACGACGTCGTAATTGAACACTAAGACTTGGTTCTTCGTACCACCAGATACTTTAGCAATGCGGTCCCAGGTTTGGTCGACTGTCGATGTTCGCTTCGAACTGTCACCATCTGTCCAACACAAAAGTCCTTGCTCGACAAAAGCCTCGTGGAACCCCGCATCGACAAGACCGGATGTTGTCTGCACCGGCTGTGATAGTACGGGCTGCATCGTGGTCAGGTTTCGTAGGTCGTAAACTTTCATACCAATATACGGTAGCCCAGCGTTCTCAGTGGTGATTTTCATTTGTTTGGCTTTCTCCAATATCAGACCGAATAGCAGACGAGATCCTTCGAAAAACCGCTTTGGATCGGAGCGGATGGTTTGCAGCGGGACAACATTCTTCAAGATCTCGTAAAGACATTGTGCCAGCGCAGCACGTTCCGGAAGTCCTGGAGTCTCGCCGCGCATTAGGATATGTGCAGCTCGGATAGCGGGGGGGAATTGTGTCAGGAGATGGACCATATGAAGCACGGCGTCTCGTCGATCGTCGTCCATGCTTCCATTTGCGGTGAGCTCAGTGAACACGCGCAATGTAGACAGCATGCTGGCTATTCCACGGTCAGTCTGGCCAACATGATGCTTCCATGCTTCCGACTCCTTGAAGATGCCAGCTTTGCCTTGATCGACGCGCTCATTGCGACCTAGTGTCCATCGTTGTACGGCGTAGATGTTGAGTACACCATTGACGGCGCAATCTTCTAATCCGGCCGCCTCGATCGTGATATTGGCGTTGTGTGCGGTGATCTCGATTGGACACTCTGATGTGTGTACGTCGACGACTAGATCTCGATGGGCTGCAGTGTCTTCGTCATCGTCGTCATCTTCGGAATTTTCCTTTCGACCTTGGCGATGGGAATGGCATTGCTTCGAGCAGATGGCCATGACCGGAGCTTTGAGGAATTTCCTGTCTCCTGAGGTCCGGATGCTAGTATCCTCAATGCCGTTGACGACGTTCACATACTTGTTGGCCAGGCTTTGGTTCTGCGTGTGCTCCATGTATTCCTTCGTTGCTTGCTGAATGGCACTAAGCGTGATATCACCGACGGGGATGGCGGTCACAATGTTGTTTGAGTGGACGAGAATGACCGTATGGAGAGCGTCGTGGTCCCCAGATCCGTTGACGTTGAGGATGGCATTGTCGTCGATTTGTCGAGCCAGGCTACAGTTGCACTCTAGCTCAGGGCAGTCGCCATCCTCAGTAGGGAAACCCAAGTGTTCTTGAACGAGGCCTTTCAGTTGCTGCAGAGTGCAGGTGGTCGGCACGTGCGTCGATCTTGGGGGTATAGCTTCAGTATTGGACTGGGCCAACTCCGGAGTGATGACGCGAACGCGTAGAGTGTTTGCTGTTCTGTCGGACGTAGCTAGTCGTAACGGAAGTGTCGAACTGGGCTGCTTCTCGTGCACCTTATTTACAGTCAGTGACAGCCTTACGGATACATTTTCTGGGGACTTACCTCGACGACTGCGCAGACAGTCTCTTCGGCGTTAGGTAGGACATCAGATAAAAGATCCTCGAGATCCAGCATCGGTCCATCTTCTGTGTTCAGGTGCAGAGTCATCTGAGCTCCGTTCGCGTCGGAGAGACCCAGAGCTGGCAGGCGCGACGTAACGCTGTCGTGTAAGGCTGAGCAGAGCTGAGATGGGGAAAGTACAACGAGTAAACTCGCTCTACGCCCTCCAGCTGCGACATTAACCGTGTATCTCGCCATGCTACGCGTACGCAGGTAGTTGGAATTGCTGATGTTGAGCCTGTGGTAAGGTGGAGGCAGAAGTTGGTAGGCCAGACGTGGATTAGTTATAATAAGTTAGTATGCTCATGTGCGCTTGTAGCAAGCCACTGAAAGATGAAAGACAATGGCTATGAAATAGACAGTGTTTGTTCAAAGTCATGTCTCGAATACACAAACGGATCGATAGACATGGAATCCTGGTGAGTTGTCTTGGAGTATGGTAGCAGACCGTGAGGTACAGGCACGGCCGGTGTGAAAGCAAAGGTGTAAACGAGACGCATGGACAGATTGAGTCTATCCAGGGATATGCGACAAAAGCGGTTCTAGTTGGATTGTCATGTTTGTAGCATCAGTAAGACAGAAAAGGCCCACGTATTCATGGTGTTGAAAGAAGAAGAATGAGGTGCATTGTACTCGTGTAGCCACGCAGCCTTACGCTGACGTCGTGGCATCATGACGTTTGAGAGCGTATCAATAAGGCCTGAGACTAATGGAGATGAGAGTGATGGGTGGCAGTCGGATGTGATGAGAGAGTGAGGTTGGATGAAAGCGACAAGACACGTGTTGGCGCGCATTCCGGCTTATCGATAACAGACCGGGGAATTATCCAACTGTCCTCATTGCCCTCCACCAAACCACGACTTGCGCCAACCTGTCCTCTACCCACGCACATATCGCTACGGCCCCATAAACGTCCCACTTCAGCATACGTCAAGCAAACATCAATCATGGAGTCGCCAGACACGTTCACGCTCCTCCCCCTCGAGATGGACCCGCAAACCAGCACCATCACCGCATCCCAGAGCACCAGCAACGCCCTCCAGACCGAGCTCGACGCCCTAAACAACCTCCACAGAAACCTCCTGCACGTCGAAACACCCACGGGCACACCGCCGCCACCCGTCCCCGTCAACCCCAAGCGTTCCGCCCAGATCAACAAACTGCGCGAGTCGGGCAACGCCGAGTTCAGGAAAGGAAAGCCCGAAGAGGCGGGCAAGCTCTACACCCTCGCAATCGACATGGCGCTCGCACGTCCAGCATGGGAGCCTTCAGGACTCGTCAGGGAAGAGGTCTCTGGGCTGCTCAGCAACCGCGCACAAGCAAACATGGCACTCAAGAACTGGGCAGAGGGCGCAGTGGACGCAGAAGCCAGTGTGGAAATGAAGAAGGTGGGCAACGCCAAGGGCTGGTGGAGGCGGGGCAAGTGTCTGCTCGAGATGGGCAGACTGGACGAGGCAGAGCAGTGGGTCAAGCAAGGATTGGAGTTCGAGGCAACAGAGCAAGATCTCGTCAACTTGAGGGACGAGATCGAGAGGAAGCTGAGAGGCGAGGTTTAGGTTGTTCTCGCCAGCGATCCGTTTGAGCACATGACGTATGGAGGACTTCCGCCTCGTCACTTGTAGGATTTGGACTAGACGGAGGCGCAAACTTGGGGCAGAGGTATACAGTGGTATTGCTAGTAGGTCTCTATGAGACGAGCATAAGCAGTGGGAGGATGGGCATTGGCAAGGCGTTTGGCGCTGGAAGGCGTATACCACACTTGAGCCTATCAGGCTTTGAGGCATTCATAGCGAATTCGTTGGAATGAATTTCTAATAATCAGGCTTGTCTCTTTCGTGCGCGTGATATCCAGTGTACCGAGCTCAGCGAGGTTGTCACGTTCCATGGTACGCCTGCCAAGCTTTTCGTAAAGTGATCCCACTATGAGTCGCGCGCACCTCTTCCGACAACCACCGCACCAGAGAGCGACTGCACAACATTGCGCCTCACCATAAACGACGCCCAACCACGTCAAGAGCGCGCAATCAGCACAGTCCCCTCTCACCGGCTCAGATACAGCAGACAAGCTCCATTCCACGCTTCTCCTCACCGTCACAAGCCCAGATCAGAAACACCTCACTCATTCCATGCACCAAATACACATGCCCTACATAGCATTTCTGCACACCCACAGTACAGACTTGCTTGTCCGAAGGATTCAAACGGCGCGCTGTAGATCGCAAATCTACCTGGTCGCACAGGACCAGCAACTTTTCAAGAGGGATCAGGGGGCATTTCACCGCAACGGACGTAGGATATGCTGTTTTGGTGGTTGGATGTGAGTGAGAGCGACGCCGAATTGTTCCCAGGTTCCTGCGCTGCTGCCGCATGTGGGGTTTGAGGTTGTTCGTGCTCGGACATGATGGAAGATTTGGGCAGGGAAGCTTTCTAGATACTGTACACATGGACTTCAGGTAGAATGATAAGCGTTCTCCCGGTGACCCACGATGATTTGGTAGCGTTGGTTCTTCGGGGGCTGGATCTAATCTTCGGGCTGATAAGATGATCTGATAAAAGTTTCTGTTCTGCACCTTTCCTTTTTCGAATTGGCGTGGTGAGCCGGTTATCGTGCTTCCCGAATACAGAACTACGACCGCGACTCCTGGGAAGTTCAAACGAGAACAACAGTCTAAGAAGACTCGCGAGAAAAGTCTTTGCAGTTCGAACAACAACCAATACCGTACTTAGTGAACAAATCAACAACACCACAATGTGACGATACACAGCACCCAACAATGCGACACCGCACCCATCACGGTAATCTCCCGGTGGTATCAGCCCATCGGCGTATACGAAGACGCACAGTCTCACACAGTGGACCCAACCTACACCTCCATGCTACCAAGCCAAAACGGCCCGCAAAGGGGACCCGTCTTCGCCCTGAAGCGGAGCCATGTCGAGATTTTCCTTTCCCGTTCGGCGGTACTAAAATGGGATCGTAGGCGCCGTCTTAACGCAGGCACATCACTTGTTTTTATCAGATCATCTTTTGCTTGCGATAAGGAAGGGCGATGGCTGCACGATCCGATTCCGTGAGGTCGGTAGACAATGAGGGACAGAGGTCGATTGAGTCTGAGAAGAAGATTGGAGAGGTGGTTGCTTGTAGTGATGCGGAGTCTGAGGGGCGGGGTGGCAGCGATAAGAGCGAGGCGATTCCGCTGAAGATGAAGCTTATTGCTGTTCTTTTGGTTACGGCAACGGGGTTTGGGTCGCATTGGAGTAGTGGTGTTACTGGGGCGATGAAGAGTACGGTCAAGAAGGTATGGATTACTCGGTTTCTGTTATGGGTACTCAGCTGACATTGAGAAGGAATTGCATATCAACAATGCGCAGTACTCCGTGTTGGAAGCCAGCGAGGATTTCATGAAGACCGCTTTGATTCTTGTCAGCGGTCTTGTCACCGATAGGATTGGTGGTGCAAGTTCGTCTCTCCTCGCCTTTCGATTATATCGACGCTGACAAGGAACCTTTGTAGGTGCCATGCTCTGGGGTAACGCCATCTACAGCATCGGCGCCATCTTCATCGCAGCCGCCACGACCGTCCGCTCATACAAGTTCATGATCTTCGGATCCATCGTCCAGGCATTCGGCGACATAGCCACGCAAGTCGCGCAGTACAAAGTCTTCAGCTCCTGGTTCGCACCATCCAATGGCTTCGCATCGACCCTAGGCTTCGAACTTGGCATCGGCAAGATTGGATCTTTCGTCGGCAAGGCCACGGCAAACGTTATTGCGAAGAACACTGGCGACTTCAGTTGGGTGTACTGGGTCGCTGTCTTCATGAACCTCTTCACGAACGTTACTACTCTGCTATACTGGTTCTTCACGCGCTGGTGCGGGAAGAAGTATACTGGCACCGCCGATCCCGCGACTGGAGAACAGCTCACGGAGAACAACAAGAAGTTTGAGTTTGGAAAGGTTCTGCGACTTCCTTGGACTTTCTGGAGTATCGTTGCTTTCTCCCTCTTCCAGACCAGCACCGCCTCTGTCTTCGCTCAGAACGCAACCGAGTTCGCTGAGCAGCGCTTCGACATGGACGCTGTCAAAGCTGGATGGTACTCCTCCCTAGCACAATATCTGGGCTTCTTCCTCGTCCCAATCATCGGCATCTTCGTAGACATCTTGGGCAATCGCATCACCCTGATGCTTGTCTGTGGCTTGGGTATGCTCCTATCCATGTGTCTGGCCACATGGGGCCCAACATATTCCGGCACCGCAGCTTCATTCGGTATCTACGGTGTCGCATCCATGTTTGGCCCGACTGTCATCATCGACTCGATTCGCACGTCCATGTGGTACCAAGAAGTCTTCGGTTCTGGCTATGCTGTCAAGATCGCCGTCAACAACGCCATGTCGATTATTATCCGTATCATCACGGGTGTCATCCAAGATCGGGATGACAACTCTTACGATAATGTCGTTATCGTGTATGTTGTACTTTCCGCTTGCTCGGTCGTGGTCGCCGCGAGCATGTTTGTCGGCTGCTTTTGGACGAGCGATCTGGGGCACCTCCAGTGGACTAGGAGCCAGCGCATTAGGAAGGGCGAGATTATCAATGTGCGGAGGAAGGAGTTTGAGTGTGGTTCCGCCGGTGAGAGGAACAGGAAGATCAGCTTGTCGTTGTTCGTTGCGCTGCTGTTCTTGGTCGTCGGCTCGTGGGCGGCTTACTTCTGGGGTGTTGCGACAGGTAACAATGTCTGAGGCTGTGGAGTCTATTCTCAAGATCACCGAGAAGCCAGGTCTCTGGCGAAAGGGAGCTAAATTCGCTCAGCTTGTTCCCAAGCATATTGTACGTTTGCCTGCGACGATCGAGTCCAGCGCCATAGCCCAGACATCTACGCAGCAGGTGTCATCCGCTTCCGAAGTGAACGACGAATAGCTGCCCAAGAGGGTGGTTGTGTCTGACTTCTCCTTTCCTGGCGTGCTCTTCGCACTCTCTTGCCGTAATACTCTGCGTCCTCATGAGAGGGATAGTTCGAGTTTGATAAGCTATAGATCTCGTAGGTGATGCCAGCGACCTTATACCACCAGCTGCCTTTGGTTGGTACCCACCTACTCAGCCATAAGTAGCCTGATACTCGTTCCGAAGGAAAAATGCCGTGGGAATCTAATCCTTGACTCTGCGATGTGATGCTCTGATCCAGATCGTTAGGGAAGAAGCCCATTGCTCGAATATGGTAATAGTCACAACTCTCGCTAACGAAGTCCTGAAGCTGATCGTAATTTGGCTTGATCCAGCTGTCATGTAGAAATGTATCCAAGCTTGCAGACATTATACCCAAGTTCGTCCCGAACTGAGCCAATATTTCATAATACTCAGAGTGGGAATTGGACATTGCCTGCGTGAAATTCACGTAAAATATGGTCATAACATCGAGCAAGAGTTCCTGAAGTGACTTTCCATAGTCGATCTGGAGTCGCTGGTTTTCTTTCACGAGTCCCATCAACCCGTACACTTTATCGCGAGGATCCTGACAACGACTTTCGTTGAATGTCTTGATGGCGTAGCTGAGATCCATTTGGTTCTTTTGTTCATGATCGCCCAGCAAATATAGTGCCGATTTCGAGGAGACGTCTTCAGGACAGCACTGAGCTCTAGCCAACAACTGATCCCAGTTTATCCAGACTGGGCCGGCGGTGGCATGGCTGCATAGAACCTTTCTCCGAGTCGACAGAACAATTTCCTGCACAATCCAAAGGCGTGTGAAATATTCATGTCCTGATATGGATGTTATAACCTCTGATAAGCTCAGGGTCCTTGCCGTATAACGATAGTCTTGTTCAGTCGAGTCCCCAAGTAAGAGGGGAGCATCAGGGCACCCGCGGATGGTCCCAAGCCATATGATTGTCCCATAGCACCCTGCATATATCGATGCCATCATTCCGACCTGATGGTTTCGCTCGCGTACGCTCGACTGGTCGATGCAGATTTGGTCTATCCAAAGGTACTCGCACCAGCTAGGCGACCAACGGTATTCAATATCGTCGCAATAGAAGTGGCGTCTTGGACGAGGTTCCCGCTCTGTGATCATTAGATAGGCCTGGAAGAACTGAAACAGATTTTCTCTAATGCTGAGAGATTCGCCATTGACCATTATATCAAACTGTGGCGACGGCGGACCCCACGTATACGAGAGAGCCACGAAACGTGGCGCGTTGTCCAACTCAAAGACTGAGATGTCGCACTGTGGTTTATCCGGTTGACCCGGATGCAGCTTGATAAGGCGGATTTGCCGAGTGGAGGTGTCCAAGGCTTGGTGTCGATACCTTTTAGTCGGCTCGACCTCGCACGACTTCGTGCGTTCTGCACCATCCATATTGACCTTCTCATGTCAGCTTGGCTAAAGTTTCTGTGCGAAACGATGCATCTACATACCTGCGCGTTCATATTGGCTCATTCAGAGGCGACTCAAGCTGCTAGGTACACTGTTCATGGTGATGGGAACTGCAGCCGTATCTCTGATCGAAAGCTCACCTGGGCAGGTACCCAGGTGGATTGATCCTCGATATTATCGAAATATCGCTTGTAGTGGGGTGAACAAGGAACTAGCTGCTTTCTGAGTCGATGTGGTGCGTAGAGTGAGGCTTTATATGATGACGTTGCGGTTCCTGAATCGTGGCGGAGCCTTGTTGGAGGGGCAGCATGGTGGTGGCTTAGGAAGGCAGCAGCGCTCAGCCTGATCAGCCTAATCCAGCCTGATCATGTGATAGTGCCTCGTCTCAATGAGCGCAAATCTTGAGACACTCCCGAGCAACTCGGTTGGAGAAGATGAATTGACCGATACAAGTCTACATAGACGACTTCAGTGTATCGTCGCAAAAGACCTATGTAAGCAACGGTATGCTCGTCTTCGATGCCACGACTTAGGAACTTTGACTTCATGGAACTAATCACTGCATTTTCGGGCTGTGCTCGTATCCGGCTGCAAGGCAGCGAAACGGTTCGTAGTGATATCCAAACTACCATACCAAATAAGCCTCGCAACAACACTACTCAGTCCAACCCAGTGTCTTTAGCGCTTGAACAAACTCAACAACTTACCCTTCTCATTCTCACCCTCGACAGCTTGAGAGCCCACCAAGATGCACCGCATAACAGCACCGTACAAAATATCAATCATCTCATCCCTCGCAGCCACGATCTCGTCTTTCTTAGCCCTGTACTCACCATTCAACACCTCGATCTTTTTGTGCAAATTCCTGGCAAACTCGGAGTTCTCTCGGGCCAGCTTTGCGCTCTTCGCGGCATCTGTATACATGGCTACCTTCATACCGTCGTACATGGCGGTCTCAGCTGCTTCCAGTTCTTTGACGAAGCGGTCGTAGTGATTGACGACGTTGTTGTCGAAAACTTTGTGTCCCTCTTTCATAGTCTCGACTTCGTCGATGATCTTTGTGGCGGCTGCCATGCGGCGGGTTTGCTTTTCGTTCAGGGATTTGTAGCGCTCGGTGAGAAGGGCTCCGAGCTGAGCGGCTTCTGATACGCCGAGGTCGCAGAGCTTGGTGAGCGTCTTGACGTCGATGAGGTATTCCGTCAAGTTTCCGATGCCGTAGCTTGGAGTGTAGTCATTGCTGCTGCCGTTGCTGTTGCCGTTGCCACTGCCGTTGCTGTTGTCATTGCTGTTGTCATTGCTGTTGTCATTGCTGTTGTCATTGCTGTCGCCATTGCCGTTGTCATTGCTGTCGCCATTGCTTTTGCCTTTGCTGTTGCCGTTGCTACTGCCGCTGCCACTGCCGTTGCTGTTGCCATTGCTGTTGCTGGGACGTGCAGTGTAGACTTTGCTGTTGCAAATAGTGGTGCCATTGCTCGTGTCATTGCTGGTGTCGTTGGTCATGGGGGCCTTTCCTTTGCCTTTATGATTGGATGAGGAATTTGACGCGTCGGCGAAGATTGGGGACGAGACTATTGGAGGTGAACGCGGTGTGGGCGCAACGGAACCGTTGGCTGAAGGCATACTGGCGGTTTGAGGAACAGGTGAGCGAGATGTATACCTGACGAAACCGTAGAATGACTTCATATTAAGATTTTGATAAAGAGGGGCTCGTTGACGATAGCTTTGTGGATGATGTTGGTGTGTAGAACGAAGGATGATGGTGTTGGAAGATAGGTAGGCTTGCTTCACTTTGGTTCCTGCTCGCTGGTCCACCTGAGTTCCTCCGCTCCTCCCTCGCCGATTGGAGTCGGGAGCAGTGTGGAAGTGACGAAGGATGAGACAAATGCCACAACGACCTCTGCATTCCTGAGGTTGGCCATGACCCAGAACCGCGCACGCTACCAAGCTACCTGTGACCAAGGGAGCGATGTGTGTGAGCGCCCAGTAATTTGTAGAGTGCTGCGTATGCTGCGAAACAATGAATAGATCGGCAATGTTTTCGATTTACCATCTCGGATCAATGACGATGTGTGAAAGGAGAGTCCCGACGTCAATACCAACATGTGAGACGCACTGTTCTTTCAAAAGACAGCAAGACATCACAAGTAGTAGGGCACTTCACTTGCCCTTCACGATAGTTGTCCGTGGAGACATCGACTTCGTGATTCTGAACAAGGCCGAACTGCACGCCTCAGGCACTTCTCACAGATAGCCCTGTCTGGTGTCGTCGGACACATCGGTCTAGGCACACACCCTGGTAGGCCGGAGTATCACGTAAGAAGCCGAGGCAGGCCCGGAGAGGCGGGGAGGAACGACTGGAGCCAGGGAGGTGGGCTGATTTCTCGGTCTGGAGCCCCCATCTGACGGTAAGCGGCGATGTTGGATCGGCGTCGATGCTCCGCGAAGGATGGAGCATTGATGTGCAGGCAGGTGAGCAGGTGTATGTCGAGGAGGAGTAATCAGGCGCGGGATGTAGGCAAATGTCTCACCGCTATGACTACGCTCTATGTCTGTACGGATTTGCTGGGAACGGTCAGCAGTGACGTAGTGACGGCAAATGGCGAATTGCGGGGGTTCCAGGTCGCAGCGTGGTTGCACATGTACATCATCTGAGGTCGCATAAGACGTCGAGGCAGGTACAAAGTGCCGACAGGCGTGTGTAAAGCCGAGAGCGTGGACTGGGCTCCCTGGTGCAATTACGGGGTGTGAGGAGAGCAGACATGGTGATGGTTCGCGCGAGGAAAGCAGGCCGACGAGCGCCCATGACCAGTCATCAATACGAGATGGTCAGAGGATAGATTGCTGACGAAGAAGGCTGGGCTGGGAAGAGGGCGAGGAGTGGGCGAGGAGTGGTCGAGGAAGTGGCGATGGGACTGTGGAAGGCGCGCCAGGCCGGATGAGGAACCATCAACAATCAACAGTAAGAGTGAGGGCAGCGGCAGGGAAGCCGCGTGGGGTGAGAGATCGGCATGCCGAAGCCAAGCCTACAGTAGTCGTATTATGCTGGTCGTGCTAGTCGCATGCCCGTAGGCTCATAGTAACCTAGCATGCCAGGAAACAATTGACTACCCCAGAGCCTACTTTGACGTTGGGTCGCCTACTTTGAATGTTCTTACCCTGCCCAAGTAATGCAAGCTGAAAGATCTGTTTAGTCTTTTCTCTGATGAGGCGGTTGGTCGACAGGCGGGCTGGTGAGCGCTGAGCGGTTGTCTCGAATGTTCGGGCCGTTCAGTGCCGCCCCAGTCTTTATAACAGGTCCGGGTCAGTTTGGTCTGATTGGGTACCAACCAGACGGTTCGCAGGTTGCATCAAGTCGAGCGAGCGACT